TAAAGTCTGTTTTTCCTACAGCCAACAAGATCAATGGGTTAAAAACTCACCCGACCACTGGCTTGCTAATCTGTTCGAAAAACGATAGCACGAGATTGATAAAAACAAAAATTTATTCATATTCAAATATGAGGTTTGTTTTTTCTAGATCTGAATTCCGTCCAAAGGTTGTAATTAAAATAGCAATGTATAAATCAATAAATTTATTTTATATTATTTTAGAGGCTTTTTTAAGTCCTTCGTGAGGGCTTTAATTGCGTTCAAATTGGTTATAATTGCCTTTTGACGCCTGTCATGCAAGGGCTTAATGAAAAGATTGACGACAAGATATAAGAAAAATGTCTCCGCTGAAGTCCAGAAACTGGTTTGCGAGTCTTACTTCGCATAATTTCACATTTCTGTCAGTTGTAAATTTTTTGTTCCAAACTTTTGACGGAATAAGTTATAGAAACAGTGTGTTTACCAGTAATAAGCAGAGCATTGCCGACGGCCAAGAAATTAATTCGCTGAAAAGATTCCAATTCATTTCACACAGTTGCACTGCATAATTTATGTCTATAGGGATGTGTCTGCAATGTTAAGTATAAAATCGCAGATAGCAGTTGGAATGATTGATGCAATTCGGTTGCTCGATTTTGCGGCTTCCAAAGAGAACAAGTTGTTCTTTTTTTTACCCATTCAACATGCATTCGGACATTCGTCATTGCTTATCGGTCTGACATGTTTATGGCGTTTGGGCCTGGTTAATTATTCAAATGCACCTGCACGGTGATTATCTCCAAGATCTGCTTGCAGATTGCAAACGCCGCGCTTTCGTTTTAATGGGTTTTCTTAACGTCGAAATTACATTCAATTTAAAACATACAGCTCGTTTGTTTTTGTGATTTTTCAGGATGCAAGAACACATTGATTTACTATTCTGTTCTGTTACGGACAACTTTATGGGTAATTAAAGCGTTTCTGTGTAATTCTTTTCAGTTCGCGCTCATTTATGTATTTGGATGTGAGCATGCATAAGAATCATATTCAATCGCTCGAAAAAACAATAAATTTAAAATTAAATACGAACAATTAGAGTACAAAGAATATAATTATATTTAATTGAAGCCAACAAATACTTTGAGATCTGAAATTTAGGTTCAAAATAATTTTTTCCACTATTTCAATAATGTGAATGGACTAATAGTAATATTAACTGGATGTAGGATTGATCAAACATAATTTTAAATCAACTTTTTTTAATAACTGAACTAAAGCAGATTCTTGGAAAAAATGCTGACCTAATGTATATTGAATAATATTAATTCCGAGAATTCAAAATAAGCCAAGCCGGTCTTATAATGTGGCAAAAAAATGGTCTACTGCTTTATCTTGTTAATTTCAATTAAATCAGCGATCGACAACAAAGCGCCATTAAATCAGTCAAGCCATAAATTTATAAGAGCAAGTTTATAAATTATTTTCTTTCAGTGTTACACTCTGTATTAACAAGCGCGAGAGCATTTTCCATTTAAAATGATCGGCATCTCAAGGAGTCAATGTTTTGCAATTATCCGTGTTCGTTTGACTCTGACTTGATCATTGTATGGTAGTGCAGTGTGTCATTAAACCAACACGGCGACAGAGGCTAATTAAAATTTGAAACGCCGGCAGAGGTGACCGGTGCATGCTGATGAGAGAGGCGCGTCTATTTTAATTACAAAATTTTTGAGCAACAAACGTGCACCTTGGCTGCGGACAACTGAAAATACATAGTGTATGCGACACAACACGTCGGTGTCCTCTCCAGATTACCATATTGACGAGGAAGCAAGGCCAGCCAAATGCTCATCCAACCTGTAACTTTCCTCGCTCTCTCTGTACGTAACACGGCCATCACTCTATTGCCATAGTAATTTAAATTTAATCTAATAATTCAAATAAATTAAATTGTTTTACGCCAAATTGATAATCCTTTTAATTTTTAAAAAGCACCGTAAAAAGAAACTTCATTGGCTGTTTTGTTTTTATTTACTTAATTGTCAGGAAAAAATGTTGACTTCTTGCGATGAGAATTCTCAGAAAAATCAAGGTTTGTTTCGCACCTGTTCTATATAATTGCATAACAGCAGAAGCCGCGTTTCTGTTTCTATTGTTTGATTCCATTCATACTATACTTTGTATAGTACGAGTCCAGTTCACTTTCCATCCTTCACAGTGCACTTAAAGAGACTGTTTGAACTGCATCGAGTGTTTTCATAACATCATCTCCAAGCCTTTATTGATTGAAGAGGACGACGGTGGGAAAAAAAATGATGAAGACACGTCTGCAAGTGGATGTATTTTTTGTCATACACGCATTCTCCTTGTCAACCGCAAGATCATTTCTCTTAGTGGCTTCTGTGCTATGTGACGTGGGTTGTCTTATACTGAGAAAATTTTATCAAAGCCTATCCTATAATAATTGTGATTGCTTTAAAAGAAAAATACAGAAATAAAAGCAGCCGCGTGAAAAATTCAATTGATTATTATTTATTTTTACATCAATTATATATTTCCGAAGAATGGGATAATTGAACGTTTTGGATTCCCAGAGAGGAAGAAGTTTGTTTTGTTTGTGGATATTTACGACTTAAAAGGTTTCAATTGTGAATAAGAATTCCCAGCAAATTTATAACTTTTATCCTTATTTACAATAATTGCGTTTTCCCTTTTTTCCTCACTTTGTTTATTTTTAGGAAAATTGCATTGACACAATTATTTTATTATTTGTTTTTATTGGATTAAAAGAATTCAATCTTGGAAATAAACACCGTCATTAATCAGTAGCGCTCTGGATTTTGCGCACTGAAAATATTTTTCTTTTTTCCATGTCATCTGCGAACAACAAAGGCTCACTATATAATTATTGCCTATAAAGCGAGTCTTGGCGAGAGAAATTTGTCCTCGTGGCTGTGGAGACATGAACGCCTGCTATCGGTATTTTGCAATAAAAAAAAAACAAAAGCGGCTATTTGCGTTTGGATGGATGTGTCGCCGCGCTACTGCTCTCTCGCATTCTTGCTAATAGACTTTCAATCCAGCACACAAAGCGCTCGTAAAAACAATTGCACTAACTAAGGTATGACGCATAAGTCATCAATGACATAAAAATCGTGACTGGCCGCGAGCGCATTTGCAGAATTCAAATTACACGGATTAACGCGCGGTGCCAAAATCGACACGAGAGTCCTCGCGAAAGCAGGCGTGTCTTTTTTTAATATTTTATACTTCAACGGCCTCTGATTTTATTATTATTCCCTCTTCGGTGTGGTCACCACACTTATGGTATTTTTATAATCAAATCGTAAATAAAAAATAAATCAAAGGCGTTTATAATCTGACGCGGCTGGGTGTGAGGCAGGCGATAAAAGAATCTGCAAAAGGCGATTCCATTTTAACGGTTCGATGCATTTCGCGAATATCGTGTAAACAAACAACACCTTAGCGGCGATGGTGCAATTCTGCGACTGTCATAATGTTTACTTTATCGATAATTCCGCAGGAATTTAATTAACTATCGTCCGAAGCTGGGTGCGGATTTTTCCTTTTAGCGCCGTGACGATTGAGACATTTTTTATACATAAAATGATGTGAATACGCTCCCATTAATCAAGCAAAAACCTTCCTGCGCGCTAAACGTCCTCAGAATCACAAGTTGACAGCAAATATTTTAGGCTTTATTTTATTATTATAAAAATTTAGCTTATAAATAAATTTTTATTTCAAATTTTTCAAATTTTAAGATTATTTAGAAATATTTATTTCTTCTCTATAATATGTTTAACAATATAACAATTAATTATTTTTTTAAATAATTATGGATCATTTTTTTTTTAACTTAAGACAAATAAGTTTATATTTTTTAAAAATTCAATGAATACTTAAAATAGTTTACTATTTATTAATCGTACCAAACAATTTCCTTGCATAATTAATAATTTGAATAATTTGTGTTTGAAATAACAACAGTGATGATTTAATTATTTAAAACTTGAATTACATGATATTTTTAATTTAAACGTATAATTTGCATACGCTGTCAATTTAACTTTCAATGAAATTTCTTCTCTTTGGTCATGCGGAGTAAATAAATCACGACTTCCAACGGCATTCCCAATATGCAGAGCTAGTGCGTGTTAATCCGATTTTTCAGCCACACACGCCGAGAAATCCGTTCTTATTATTAACAATACACACGCGGCTCTGCAGAAGGAAAAGGGCGATCGCGACACTGGGAGTTGCACAAACAAAGCAGAAATATACAAATCTGGTCCATATACACAATTGTGTGCGCGTTTGAATAATTTATTGAACTGGTGCACTGGATTCCTAAGAAGCAACTCCTACTGATTCTGTTCTAACTCAGCAGTTTTCTTCAATGTTAACAGCTCGATCGATCTATCCACGTACGTTTTGTCCGATATTTATAGCCCTGCATATCACACCTGACTTTATTGCCCCACACCGTAATGACAAATTGCAATTGTGCCGTGAAACTTTAATAAAACGCGTGCTTCATTACGGCCGTTGCGCATTTCTCTCAAATAAATCAAAATTATATGAGACGCCATTCACCCACTATATCGTTGGCGTTTCTAATTGTAATTAACTTGTACCGAGTCTGCTTTTACGAAAGTGAAAATTTAAAAGAAGGCTCTTGTAGATTCATAGTTTTTTCCATTTTAATATTTTTAAAATTGGTGCACAAAATTACATAAAAAGAGAATACTGCAAAAAATAATTTTGGAAAACAATTTCAAAAATAAAGTAATTGGAAATAACTTTCAAAAAGAGTTCTAAAAATTGAACATTTTTGCCAAAAGAAATGATTAAATCACGTTTTTTTTAAAGGAGTTGGAAACACAAATCAATTTTTAAATTATTCAAATTTTTTAGTTCTTAAAAAACCACTCTACCGTATTAAAATCATGTGAAAATATCACAAAATAAATTGATTTCTTGTTGTCTTTGGTACTTACGTTTGGTCGGCGACGCTGTCGATCGCGGCAGGGAGGGTTGAGCGCTCGCTCGTGGGGACCCTGATGAAAGCACTAGTCCGCCACTAGAGACTGGAAGGCTGCTTCGGACTACCTGAGCAGAACAACTCCTCAACCAGCTACCTGTTATGTGTTATGTCCACGAGTTTGCGCAAGCGCACCCGACACACCCAACATTAAGAAGAGTCCACCTTATTATTAAAAACGAAATCATTTAACATGCAAAAACCGCGAGCCGTAAAGAAACACTAAACAGGGAATTGTAGATTTCCGCCACGAACGCCCGAAGCGATTTCGGCCTATTATTTTCCCCACATTTTTAAAAGTTTATTGCCCGCGAAAAGCTTTTTTGGAGCACAATTTGCAGAGCTTTTACGGTTGGAAAATAGAACGCTAGAGGAAGGTGGGTTCAGAATTTCCGTTGGTGTTTTGCAGGTGTTAGATGAATCACTCGAGAAGAAATCGTTGTGATGATCTGTCCTGTCATTTGGTTTACATTGGCACGGCTACATAATTGAGGAAACCCCCGCTATTGAGTGCTTTTAAGGTAATTCATTACAAAATTATTTCCACGGCACTCCTCGCCTACACATAAAAGAGAAAATTCTAGCCTCTGTGTTAGTTAAAATTTTATCTTCTACGTCGGAATTGTTAAAATCAGAAATTTTATATGTCAAATCTTAGTTTGCATTTAAATTTTATTGCACTATTTTTTATTCATTTCTCAATGATCCATTCTCCAGATGCTGTATGTTAATTTTTATTGTTCTTGAATTATGAAATCTAGACTGACCCATGCCTAGCAGGCAAATGAGCCAAGAGTGCAAATATTATAATGGAGCAGGAAAAGTTTAAATTGCATCTGAATGCTTTTGATAAATGGACTTAAAGCACGTCAGTGAAATATACTTTGAATGTGTGTTGCGAATCCATCACTGTTTTCTTGCTGGGATCAAATAATAAAACACATCATGGCTATTTAGTTGTTTGCTTGTTTCTGCTTCACATTATGTGCATAGCACACAATGAAAGGCGAGATTACAAATTTTCGCATGATTGCTATTATTTAGTCTTTTTACAATAAAGATACCCTTTATATGTTGGAAATGAAGAGATAGGGCAAATTTTTTTTTATAAACAAATGGCTCAACCCTTTATATGTTGATGAAATTTTCTTTTTTAAACTTGCCTTCCTAAAGCAGGTTGGAAATAAAAGATAGTGGTTTATCATCTGAGTTAATCTAACTAGTTAAAAATTGGTTACCTCAGCAATGTAAATAAAAATTTATTATGTTTAATTCAAAATATATTTTTTGATCGTTTAGTAAAAAAATGTAAAATTTTTCTAAGAAAATTTCATTCAATTATATTACTGTTTTATTACGTACGACACATAAATAATTTTTATTTTAACAGAATTTAGATTTTAAGCAATAATAACGTTGATAACTAATTATATAATTTAAAAACTTTATTTTAACAATTATTTTAAATGCTATTTATATACATTTATTTTTATTTTTCAAACATTATTCTGCTCAATTTTATGACAATTTTATAAAAAATATATTTATATTTTCCTCGCTCTCATAATTTACTCTTAAAATTCTCATGTCTAACGAAATTTACGCTTCTGTGTTTGTTTGATTCCCATTATTAGATTTGCTATTATTCTACTGAAACCTCAATCTTCAAATAATTCATAATTTACAACATTCATTTATTTATTCTCCATTCATGGAAACTTTACATCGCAAAAAAAGTACCCTGTACAAAAAAAGCGGAATCATGCATAAAAAAGTACAAGCATACAAAAAATTTCGGAAAATACGTAATTTCATTTTCTCTTCGCAACGATGTTCACCCGTTTACAATTTTTCAAGTAATCCACCTCGAGTGTTACCACTCTATGCATAATTAATGTAATTAATTTTACGTATTCTAACAAAATTATCTTCCACAATATATATTTATTATATATTTCATTGAAGAGATCAAAGCGTCTGATAATTTAATAATTAACAATATCAAGTAACATGACTTTCAATATTTAACAATAATAACAATCAAATTAATTTAATAGGGCTCAATTGTTTTTCAAATTTTATATTTTGTATAGGGTAATTTATGCAAATAAAATTGTATTCTTAAGCTGCTCAACTGAAATATGATAGATTCTTCCTGGATCTTCAAAAGTTGGGTCAATCAGTTGTCATAAAATGTTCAGTTTTTCACGATCCAAAAGTAAAAAAAGAAATTATAGATTTTACGATTTTACAAGAACAATTTTTTTTAATTTGATAAAAAAAATATGTACTGAATCTGAATCTGTTAAAGCAGCCTCTAAAAACAGATCAGCCGATCTGATTTTTCCAACACTTAATTGAAAGAGACAAAGCATCATTATTATTCATTATTAGTATTCATCTAGTCGACAATAGCTGGCTCCATTGCTCGAGTGTGCGAATCACGTACGCAAAAGTCACTTTGCCGTATAGAACAAAAGGGGAGACGATATTGCTTTAAGGCTCAATATTTAAACTTTCAAGTAGTTTCGCAATGTTGGTCTCTCTCAAATAGAATGTTGATCTCGGCGCGGGCAGCTCGTAAATTAGTCCGACAACTATCACCTTGGGTCATTCATTCTATTGAGTGATAGGCCAAAAAATCTGTACGCTCTTTTGATTGCAAGCCAGTTTCTCGAGGCTTTCATGTCGGCAAACGCTTTTGAGCAACTGCAGCACATAATATACATCGGCAGGGCGTATAATCTAATTCGTTGAGAGCTACACCCACAAACGGCAACTTTCCCTAAATCAAAATATATATAGCGCGTGTAATTCACTCGCCGAGATGCTTGGAAATTCACTTGTGAGATCATTACTTTGTTTTATGGTCCAGTAAAAATTTTACGGCTTTCTGCTGTAGTTTCTAATGCTGCGATTTTGTTTTATATTGACACATGCACACATCATTAAAGATTAAAATCAGATTTGAAGGCGTCGAGGCGTGTTATTGTCTTTTATCTTAATTGAAAATCTGAGGCAGTTTATTATTTTGAGTAGTAAATCTGTTTAATCCCAAAAATGCTTCCTTGTGCCTTCCTATCAAATATGATCAATCTAATTCCTTGTATGGTTACCTATACGTGTAATTATTGTAATGTTGAAAAATCTGAGAAACTTCAAAATAAAACATTTGAAAATATTCAACGTGTATTGAAATACTGCATCTTTATATAAATACAGGTCCTTGCATTAAAAATATCACAACAATGAAACTCGATTTGATTGTTCTTTGAGCTCTGTGAATGCCCAATCAGAAATCAGAACGCTCAGCAACAATCCAAATATGCTCTAATTGTTATTATGCTGAGCGGACCTTCACAACTAAAAAGTTAAAAACTTTGTAATTTATTTTTTAATTAAAACTGAGAAATCATTTTGAAATTTAAAAAAAAAAAATAATAATATTGGAAGTGAAGAGATCGGTCTTTTTTTGTAAAAAATGTTTTTATTCAAAAATAAAAACGGCTCTACCAGTTTCAGTCACGGTCTGCGACCCTATATTATCATGAGCAGAAGCGATGCTCGCTGACTAATGAAAGAAAAATACCAAAACAGGTAAAGCCGTTTTGTTTTGAAATAAAAACTATTTTTTACAACGATCGTTGTAAAAATAGTTTTTCCTCTTCACTTCCATGATCATCTCCTGGAGTGTCAATTTCTTGTACCAAATTTAATATTAATTATTAAGTATAAGCGTTGATTGCTTTATTAGTTGAGAACGTTTTACGGATGACGTTTTTTATTGACATCTTTGCTAGTGGTGGTGCCTCTTTGTCCAACAATTCAATGTTTCCCCAAACAACTGATAGTCTACTAAAGTAATTTTTCATAATTTAGAAAAATTGATCACCAAACAATTTTTTTTTTAAATTAAAAAATTTCTGCGATTTGAGATATTTATGAATATTTTGCTCAATTGCTTCTTAAAATCAAATAATTTTACAGTGACTTTCACAGTAATTTCTTGATTTACTTCTGCTATTCCAAAAAGTTAACCAGACAAAAATCTCTGTGTTTAAAATTTCAAAATTTTTCACCATTTTTTTAGAATTATTTATTGATTTATTCTACATTTTTTGGGAAAATTTAACCTCATAGTGATTTAATAAACTTTATTTAATTTATAAGGGAAGACAAAACATTAAGAACGTGTGAAAACATTTGAAACAGTTTTTTTTTTATAATATTTATTTGATAAAAAACTGAATTTAATGGAATATATATATTTTTTTTTAATAATAATAATAATAATAATATAGTTAATTTAATGAAGTCTTTGTTTTGATCATTTTAATTTCCGTAGCGTAACTAAAGCAAAATTCACAGCACAGCGCCCAGATGGATAATATAATCGCCTGTTGATTATGCAGCACCGCCTAACAAGCAAAAGTCATTCCGCCACAGTTGTTCGAAGTTCGAACCAAAGTACTTCCAGACTCGCCGATGGTGGCGCTGATCTTCTGACGTCGGCAAGCAAGCATCTGGGTGACATAAACTTTGCGGTTTTGGTAAGCAAAATTTTCTCGAATTTCCTCCGCGTCTGTTTGTGAGACCCGAAAATTTCGTTCTCAATATCCCGGAGTTGAACTTGAGATATTGGCCGACCGAAATTCGAAGAAGCTGCCGCAAATCAGGCCAGTCTTTTCGGGATCCGTGACATTGCGAAGGTGAATCGCTGGGCGCCCAGAATGTTGTTTTTGTTTTGTTTCGTGTTCACCATTGAACTTGCCAACTTTTATGAAATTATGCAAGTGTGCCTTAAATTATGTTGCGCTCGACCCAGTTGTCGACAGTGCCGAGATCTATGTCGAACTTGGCCTTAAGCTCTCGTCTCAAATCTTTTGCCACGACAAATTTCTTCCATATGGAAGTTGGGAGAAATTAGTTATTGAAAGTGAAATTTTGTCTAATTGTAATCATTATTCATTTCAGCACTGAATTGCGTCAGTTCCATGTTACGTCATTCTTTAATGAACACCGAAGCTGCAATACCGTCGTGTGCATTACGAATATTAGCAGCTTGAGCAGAGGATTTGTTCACAAAGGACCATAATTACTGAGAAATTTTGAGAAAAACTGCAGCATGACTTCTGTGGTGGAGAAGTCACCAAGCAAAACGACTCTGGTGCCGCAGGGCACAGAGAACAAGGATCCACAGGAGGATTACACGAGCATCTGTGGCAAGGTTAGAATTTGATCTTGAAAAATGACGTTGAGACATTTTTGCTGACGTTTGTCTTTGGCTTCGAACAGACTGTGCTGGTCAGTCCCACTTCCGAGCAGTTTGACCTGCTGCTGCGTCAGCTTCGAGAGAGGTTAGATGATGGACGTGGAGAGACTATCTACGAGATTGGGATTGGAGAAGGTCAGTTTTTTAATTAAATTTGAAATTAATTTAATATATTTACATTGCACATTGCAATGTAAGGTTATTTACCAAAATTACTCTTTTCTTATCAGCCTTCTATAAAATCAGTAATTAAGGATTTTATATTTTGGAATATTCTCTAATTATAAAAAAAAAAATTATAACTGGACTTGAAGCTTTTAATAATAAACTTTTTTCCTTATTAGACTCCACTGAAGCTGGTTTGGCTGAAGACGAGTTCGAGGCGTCGGTGGCCACACTCAAGTCACTGGCCAGCACGTTAGACTCCGACTGCAAGGAGCTGCGCCAGCGGCAGCTAGAAAAAGGCTTGACAGGCCAGTTTTTGGTCAGAAAACGCCTCGACGAGCAGGATTTCTTGGAAATCCGGGTGGCTGTGGTTGGAAATGTGGATGCCGGCAAGTCCACATTACTCGGAGTCTTGACTCACGGAGAGCTTGACAACGGCAGAGGTCATGCCAGGCAGAAGCTCTTCAGGCACAAGCATGAAATGGAGTCTGGCAGAACCAGCTCGGTTGGAAATGATATTTTGGGATTTGACAGTGTTGGTGAGTCAAAATATGATTTTTTTTTGCAACATTTCATGTTTTCAAAAACATTTATACTTTTATACTGAAATTACTTAAAAAAAATTGTGTATATATATATGAAAGAAATTAAGTTTTCTAAACAGTCAGTTATTAGCTATAATTTTGCTTGTACGACTTTCATAATAATATTATTGATATGAAAAGTAAAATTGAGAAGAATCTATTGCGTAATCCAGAATTTGATCAATTTTTAAGATATTGGGTACATACTCCTACTAGATTTTCTACCTAATAAAGTAACCCAGTTTTAATTTGTAGATAAAAGAATAATAATTATAAAAAATCTTTTCTCCTAGGCAATGTTGTCAATAAACCTGAGCACGGCTCTCTCGACTGGGTACGAATCTGTGAGCGATCTGCCAAGGTGATCACTTTCATCGACTTGGCCGGCCATGAGCGCTACTTGAAGACCACGGTCTTTGGAATGACAGGACATGCTCCCCACTTTGGCATGCTGATGGTCGGCGCTAACGCTGGAATCGTTGGCATGACCAAAGAGCACCTTGGTCTTGCCCTGGCACTCAGTGTGCCAGTCTTTGTCGTCGTGACGAAAATTGACATGTGCCCACCCAACGTCCTGACCGACACTCTGCGGTTACTGGTCAAGGTCCTCAAGTCCCAGGGCTGCAGGAAAGTGCCCGTCATGGTCCGGACGGAAGACGATGTTGTACTTGGAGCAACAAACTTTGTTTCAGAAAGGTTCAAAATTCTTGTTTCTCTTTAATAAGAGTTATAACAATTATGTTCAGGTTATGCCCAATCTTCCAAGTGTCAAATGTGTCAGGAGAGAATTTGGATTTGCTGAAGATGTTCTTGAACTTGCTCACCACAAGGAACAATGCCCGTGACGACGAGCCAGCCGAGTTTCAAATTGATGACATGTACAGTGTCCCAGTAAGTTTTTATGCAATATAAATCAAATGAGTCTAATATTTGTATTCTTCAGGGTGTTGGAACTGTAGTGTCGGGGACAACTCTTGCTGGAACAATTCGTCTGAATGACACATTACTGCTTGGGCCTGATTTGCTGGGCCATTTCACGCCAATTGCGATCAAAAGCATCCATCGCAAGCGGATGCCTGTACGAGAAGTGCGAAGCGGGCAAACTGCTTCCTTTGCTCTCAAAAAGGTAAAAATTTGTTTTCATTCACAATTAGGTAATAATCATAAATTGCAAGCAGATCAAGAGATCCCATTTACGGAAGGGAATGGTCATGGTTGCTCCTTCGTTAAATCCCTCCGCCTGCTGGGAATTTGAAGGAGAAATTCTTGTCCTACATCACCCAACAACTATCAGCTCTCGCTATCAAGCAATGGGTACTATTTTATAAGCAAACACCAATTATTCAACTAATTTAAATTCTCTCAGTTCATTGCGGTAGCATTCGTCAAACTGCTTCAATTCTGTCGATGAACGCTGACTGCTTACGAACAGGAGACAAAGCTCTGGTGCACTTTAGGTTCATCAAACACCCAGAATACTTGAAACCAGGCCAAAGAATGGTAATAGTTTAAAGAACCTTTTAAAAATAGAATATTTATATGAATCATTTAATTGATTTCTTCAGGTATTCCGTGAGGGTCGCACGAAAGCTGTTGGCAATGTTCTGAGGCTGATACCACACGCCAGTCCAGGCGCCCAACTGCCAAGGCCAAAACCCAACAAAATGCAAAAGCAGCACATAAGTTCAAGCGGCCACACTCCTTCTCCCGCGCCTTCAACAGTCGCAACATCATCAATGTCTCAGGTACACATTTTTCAAATTTTCATTTAGATAAAGACTAAAATTTATTTTTTCTAATGTAGAATGATGAAGCCACTGGCCAGTTTGACATGGACAGGCGCGAGAACACGCCCAACCGCACAGGCCGCAAGAGCCGAGGAAGACGAGGTGGCAGAGGCAGATCTTCCACCGACAGGACTTCAAGCCCTGGTGTGAAACCACTAGGGGAACAAAATGCTGGAGCTCCTCGACCAGGAAAAGCTTGAAATCTCTAAGAAAATCTTATCATACGGTCCCCTGGGACATTTTAAATCCTCTTAAACAAATTTCGATCAAGGCGAGACTTTGTGTTCTAGGAGTACAAAATTTTTTCTTGAAATTAAGAATAAAGATTATCAAGCCGAGTGCTCCCTTGACATTTGCTTTGCCATTTTTGTTTAGGACAAAAATCTAGCTGTCCCTTTATTTGTTTTAAAAAACGATTGAATTGAAATATTCAACCGTTGTGAGATGAGTTATATTTTGGATTACTGGTTCATATATATATATGCACCGCCCCACTTACGGATTTTACTGTATACTTTTTTGCTTTATGTTTAGATGAATGATCTCCAATAAAGCACTTGTGACAGTAAAATCAACACATCCTTGCATTTAATGCTCACTGATTGATGCAATTTTATTCAATCCATTAATTCCACCATTATGAATTAATTACATTAAATTTAATAAATTTAGAATTACACAAATTTCTCAATCACTATCTCGTAGATGTGCTGGACAAAATCAAGCTGAGTCAGTTTTAATTTGATTCCACCAACCTCCTCTTCGTAATTAGGTGCAGGTAGCGTTTCTCCACCTACTTGGACAGTAGATCCAGTGGGATGAGTATTTGACAGAATTTGTGCATCATTCATTCGGTCATTTAAGTACTCCCTGCTGTATTTCAGAGCATCACTCAATGGTTTCAAAAAACGCTCGTTAATGTCAATTTCTATATCCCAAATGCCTGTGAAGGCACCAGGCTTTGGATCAGCCATCACTATATACCTGGAAGCAAAATTAAAATTAAATAAACTCATTTCAAATGTTTTTTCATACATACCTCAAAAGATTAAGTTTGGAGACAACTGTGTCTATCCAGTCAAATAGCAAAGTTTTTTCACCCTGCGGTAGCACAAACATCCTGTTAAGCAGCTCTGGCAGATTTTGCATGAAATAGTTGCCACTCTTCAAGTACTCAGTGACAAAGTCCTTAGAAATTGTGACCATGTACCCTCGTACACCTTGTTCCTCCAAAGTTCGGTAGCCATGAAGGAGAATCAAGTGTCGTCCTCTCTCATCAAAGACGTACATGAGTCTTTTGAAAGTTGCCGCAGCTTTTATCCTCGTGTCTTCGTTGCTACAGTAGACCATCATATTGCAGAGGCCCTTCAGCAGGTTTGGGTAGTGGTTAGCGGAGAGTGCATGATGAGTAATGCTGCCCGGGTCAACTCGATCAAGGACGTCAATCAACATTTTGAGCCCTTTTTCCTGCAGGTCACGGTCTCCATTTGCTACAAGTTCGGAGCAGAGAGCACCAAGTTGGACAAAGAGGAACTGAGGGCTGTACACTTGTGGGAAAAAGTCATACCCAATTCCTTTGTGAATTACGTAATAATACAGCATCTAGAAATAATATAGCTTTGTCAAGGAAAAGAAATTAGTTTAAATGAGTTTTAAAAACCTCAAAAGATGCGCTGAGTGGAACTTCATCCAAGAAGTGATGATTGTCCGTCTTGTTTTTCTTCCATCCACCCTTTTCACTCAGATATTTCAAAGGGTGACCAAAGTGTGGCAGGACTTTTGTCAAAGAATGAACAAAACCAACTAAGGTATCTTCTGGCAGACTTGTGTGCACAAGTTGAGTCAAGAGGAATGTTGCAAGGCACTGTTTTTGCTCTTCACAGTCTAAAAAAATGAACTTTAATAATTTAGATGAAAGGAATACGAAAATTAATCACATTTTATAATTTCAAATTATAAGTTGATTCAACTAATTAGAATAAATTCAAATGAAAAACAAAAATAAAACCTTTTTCATTTCCAACATCAAGATCAGCAATGCATTTTTGGAAAAACTTTTCTATCTCAGGGTAAATTTCAGTCAGATCAACGTCAGAGGGCAAATCATCTAGGGTGTCCCTCAAGGTTGCAAGGCACCAGTCCAAAGCTCTTGTCTTCGATGAACTCATTTTAGCCAGGCAAATTTCAACGCATTTCAAGATAATAATTAGGAGCACTGGGTTCTCCTTATCGTCCATGTTGGAAAGCAGTTCCAGGTAAATCTCATCGGGGTCTGCCACATTTTCAGCCACAGACTCAAGCATCAACTGGCAAGTGTCAACCAGGGAGGGATTTGAGCACTTTTGTCTGGGACTAACAAACGTCACAAGGGTTCGAATGACATCCATGGGGGATTTTAGAGTCTTTTCAGCAATTTCAGGGCCGAAGAAAAAATCCTTGGCTTCGTTGAGGTCGCCCTTGCTGAGAAGCTCTTGAAGTTTGATCAGGGAGGGATCTGTTGTGGGAGGGAACGTCGAGTCGTCCATAGCGAAACCTAAAATATAAAAACAAAAATTGTACTTAAAATTTTCTACATCTACCACCAAATGCAAATAAACTTAATATTCTAGAATAATATTAATTTAACCAAGAAATAAAATAAAATTTTGCGCTTAGTTTGTAAGATTTAAAAAAATTATTAAGAAATTATTTTACGTGGTTTAGGCCAGAGAAAGAAAACCAAAGATTGTTGATTTTTAGCACAGAAATATCTGTATTATTCGAACATTTTGACACTTATCTAAATTCTCAACAAATTTTGCTACTTAGAAACTCGACTTGTATGCGCCGATGCCATACTTGAAGGTGGGATGCATGAATGCAAAATGAAGGTAGAGGACAAAGAACAAATTCATCAGGGCTACCAAAGTGCCCACGATAAGGCGCATAACTGGCACAGGGAGGGACACAATGATGACCAGGCAAACCCTGATGGTGGTCAGACCGCCGAAGACAGCCAAGGCTACCAAAAAAGGGACATGACTTTTGAAAGCATTTTCATGGGAAATCAGGATGGGCACCAGAAGGGTGAGGAGAGTGCCGATCTGCGAGGCTGCAACGACAGAGAAGACCTTCATGAAGGTCAAGGTTGCCTTCGCAGCCCGACACAAGAGGTAAGTTCCGACTGGAGCCAGGGTCATGTACAAGGTGACGGCCAGCAGGGCCGTGGACAACTCGGAAGTGTCCGATTTGAAATTGTAGAGGATCAGCACAAGGCCAATGTAGGCCACAGTCGGGGTCGCCAACTCCAAGGGTTTGAAGGGCTCACATTTAGGGGAGGGTATCAGCGGCGCCAGCAAAAGTTTCAGGCAGTCCCTGAAGCACACCTGCGGCGACGCCTTGAGAATTTGCTTGTACCTCGGCGCGTAGGAGGTCGGAATCAGCGGTTCTTTGTCCCACATTCTGTGCATCATATTATTTTGTAATTTATTTCGCAAAAGTACCTGAGGCTATCAATTTTATTCTCTACGGCTGCTTCTTCTGCGATTCCTCGATGGCTTTCAGACGTTGGGCTAGCCGTTCCAAATGTTTAACAACATGTTTTCCAGCGGCTGATTTCTCAAAGTCTTGTTGGAGCATTTTGCTCCGGTAGAACAAACTGAGGGTTAACTGAGCGGCTCGACGCACAGGTTTCGATTCCGAGAGTTTGTAGACAAGCTGTTCGTTGTTGGCCAGGTAGCGCAGGATGATTCGCAAAATGGGCATAGTCTTCAGGCCTTGGGCATGTCAAACGAGCACATATTACGATACTTGAGCAGCAACTCTCTCTTCAGCCGCAGCTGTTTACGCAAATGATCCAACTGCTTCAATTGGTCCTCACGATTGTAATTGATTCCGGGCAATTTCCGAACCTGAAGAATAATTTTAGTTAGAGGACAATCCTAATTTGCAAGAGGAAATGCTAACCTGTTCACGAACTTGATTCAATTTCTTGTGGAGCTCGACAACTTTCAGACTTGTGTCCTGTGACTCCCTTGGTTTCTGGGCGGTGTCGATAGATTCTCTTTCGATTCTAAAAAATTTACAAGGAACACTTTATTAGCAAACTCCATATGAAAATGCCTTATTTCTATTCACATTATATATTTTCTAAGAATAATTGAAAGCACTCTAAAAGCATGCGGATTATGTAAAACGACGAAAAAAATGTTCTAGATATTTTTGTCTTACCCTCGCAGGATTTCGTAGATTAATGGCATAAATTCTACATCAACCTCTTCGGCACTCAAGTGGCCATTCGCTACAGGCTTTTGTTCAGCTGAATCCATTACATAATCTTGCCAGAGTCTAAAAATATTTGCATTTGACAAGAAAATATGCGGTCTTTATGCTGAGCTTGAGCTGAAAAACAACACCTCTGTCCTCTGTCGTGTCGTTCGTTTAGTGTTCAGTGAACTTAAATTTTCGACAAAATACCGGTTTTATTACATTGACGGCATTTAACATTTTAACAATCACAAAAAAATCCAAAGGTAAAATATATTTATTCACATTTATGTTCTTAATACCATATAAAACTTAAGAAAAATTAAAAATTATCTAAAATTTTCGTAAATTGTTCAATAGAGAAAAGGATAATTGAACGATTCTCACGAACGCGACAACTTTTGCTGGATTTGGCTGCCCGGCAAAAAGTCAATGTAAAATGGTGTGTTGGTGGGGGAAGGCAGTGCGCGGTGAGAGGGGTAACAATGCAACTCTGTTCGCTGGATTTGGCTGCCCGCGCGGCTCGGCCACATTAAATATCCAAACTGCAGATTTCTGAGTTTTATTTTCAGTTTCTATTTGCTGCTTCAATTTAAAAACTAAATTATTTAACAACAAATTATAATTTAAAAATGCTTACAGCTACTTTTAAATTTTTCATGGGTTTATTTAAAAATGCGACTGCGAATGCTGGATTTGACTGCCCGCGCGCGGCTCGACTATACATAAAATACAGAGTGCAGAGTGCTGAATTTTTGTTTTCAGTTTCTTTTTGATGCTTCAATTTAAAAATTAAATTATTTAACAACAAATTATAATTTAAAAATGCCTAGAGCTACTTTTTGAATTTATTGACTGGTTTATTTAAAAATGCGACTGCGAATGCTGCATGGATTCGGCTGCCCGCGCGCGGCTTGGCCTATTAAAAAATACAAACTGCAATTTGTTGAGTTTTGTTTTCAGATTCTTTGTGATGCTAGAATTTACAAAATTAAAATAGTAACTAATACTTCATTAGGGATTATGACAACTGATTTTTTTTTAAATAAACGTGTTAAATTTGATATGCGACTCCGTTCGCTGGTTTTGGCTGCACGCGCGGCTCAGCCACATTAAATGCGAAGTGTTGATTGCTGAATGTTGTTATCAGTTTCTTTTTGTTGCTTGAATAAAAAAAATTAAAGTAACTAATAATTCTTTATTAGCGATGCTTAAAACACTAATAATTTTATTTAAATGAATGCGCTAAATTTAATAATGCGGCTACGTTTGCTGGATTAGGCTATTTGGTTGCACCATCAATTAAAACAATTGTGTGAATTAAAAAAATTATTTTATTTTTTAACTAAATACCTTCATTTATTAAAATAAACAACAAGGAACTTCAATTGAAAGCAAATTTTTAGTCCAATAAGATTTTATTTTTAATAATACAATATGTTGTTGAAATGAAGAGATATGGCTTTTCCTCAATACGAAAATTGTTCGTCAACCAAATAGCCTAATCCAGCAAACGTAGTCACATTATTAAATTTAGCGCGTACATTTAAATAAAATTATCAGTGTTGTAAGCATCGCTAATAAAGAATTATTTGTTAATTTAATTTTTTTTCTAGCAGCAAAAGAAACTGATAACAACATTCAGCAATCAACGCTTCGCATTTAATTTGGCTGAGCCGCGCGTGCAGCCAAAACCAGCGAACGGAGTCGCATATCAAATTTAACACGTTTATTTAAAAGAAATCAGTTGTTATAACAAAACTCAGCAAATTGCAGTTTGTATATTTGATAGGCCGAGCCGCGCGCGGGCAGCCGAATCCAGCATTCGCAGTCGCATTTTCAATTAAACCCGTTAAAAATTTAAAAAGTAGCTCTAAGCATTTTTAAATTATAATTTGTTGTTAAATAATTTAGTTTTTAAATTTAAGCATCAAAAAGAAACTGAAAACAAAAATTCAGCAATCTGCACTTTGTGTTTTATGTATAGTCCGGTATAGTCGAGCCGCGCGCGGGCAGTCAAATCCAGCATTAGCAGTCGCATTTTTAAATAAACCCGTGAAAAATTTAAAAGTAGCTCTGGTCATTATTTAATTATAATTTGTTGTTAAATTTAGTTTTTAAATTGAAGCAACAAATAGAAAATGAATATAAAATTCAGAATTCTGGAGTTTGTATATTTTATGTATAGTCGAGCCGCGCGCGGGCAGTCAAATCCAGCATTCGCAGTCGCATTTTTAAATAAACCCGTGAAAAGTTTAAAAGTAGCTCTGCGCATTATTAAATTATAATTTATTGTTAATTAATTTTGTTTTCAAATTCTAGCAGCAAACCAATCTGAAAACAAAATTAAGCGAAGTATATAATCAATTTAATGTGCTGGCTGAGCGGCGCGGGCAGTCAAATCAAGCAAACAAGTCGCATCGTACCCCTCCGTCCGTACGCGTCCCCACCACCAGACCGAGCAGCGATTTCCAGCAAATTTTGTCGCGTTCAGGAGAATAATTCAGGATAATTTATCTAGAAAAATACCGGTAGGTTGGGGTCAGTTTCCTAAAGTCCACTATCAAGTGGTGTCCATTTATTCTCTTATCTCTGGTTCTGGTGGTGTCAGAAGTAAATGCAACGCTTGGCAACGTTGTTGGCAAGGTTGTTGGTGTTGGAAGGAAAGTGTGAAGAGAGGACGAGAGGAGATCTAAACCAGGAGATATATACTTGATAAAAAGGGTTGAGAAAGCGCACGAGCGGAGAGAATTATGGAAGTCGGAAAGTCAGAAAAATTAACTTTTCCTGCCTGCGATGCCAAACGATGTTGCTTAGCCGATACGTAAACAATGTTTTTTTTTTGCGGCTGATGGGCGCAGGTGGCGCGAAGCGAACGCCGCGCCGCGAACGGAAGACACAAATCAACAGAACTAAAATAATACCAACTGCTTAACGTGATCCAGATTCTAGATTTTTAAAGATTAATAATAATTAAGTCATGTTGTAGAAAAGAAACTTGAGCATCAGAATTAAAACTAAAATTAATATGTTGATTTTAAAAAAAAAATCTGCAAAGTCTACCCAGAAATGATAAAATACATAACAATCAAGAACTAATGTCTTTAATACTGTTAGGTTGGCTTACTTTGCACTTCTTCACGATTCGTTCACACACAGGTTCAAACACGTTCATAAGTTTCAGAATTTTGACATTCGCTTGCCGTGTGGTGTATGTGAATATTGACTTTTCGTTTGTTGTCGCTCTGTTTGGAACTACCCGTCTCGTGAACCTCAAGAATACCATTCTCTAATTACGCAAAGCACACCAGTCCCCAACCGCAATCCGCAATTTTGAATTTGAATGCAGTTCAGAATCCGTTGGATGGAATCCGTTTTCCGCTGCGAACTCCTGCACTTTTTCTGACTCCTCTTTCTGCATAGGAAGGTATTTAAGACATAAATAATATAATTATTTCAATTATGATACTCTCGTAATCGAATGTTCCAAAATGTATGCACGGAGGATTTTTTGCACTGAATTTTTCTTCTGACGAGAATATTGATTCCTTCCTCAAGTATTTGCGCACTTAAATGATAAAAGGTTTAAAGTTTTTGTTGCAAAAAATATTTACGAACATTATTTTAGAGAATTTTTCAAAAAAACATTAGAATTCGCAAGCACACCCCAACCGAAATTTGAATGCGATTTCGTTGTTTTAGCTGCTCTTCTCTTTCTCCTGCATTTAGTTTTATCTTTTTAGAAAAGGTATTATATATAAAACGACATAATAATATTATACATAATTATTATTTCAATCATAAAATGTTCCAAAAGTATAATTTTTTGTACTGCATTTTTCTTCTGATTGGAATATTGACGTTTCTTTTTGAAATTTTTTATGCAGAAAATATTTATAAACAATTTGTTGTTAGAGAATTTTTCAAAAAAATTTTAATTCGCAAGTGTTATTATGCAACTATGACAATTTTTGCCACATAGAAATTAAATCAAAAGTAGTCGGATCGTTAAATTATCATAAAATTATAGATTCATGTTCAAAAATATGCAGAGTATCCCTCTCCTACGTAGATATGTAAATAAAAATATAGCTATTTTAAATTGTAGATTATTATCGGCTCAATTTTTTACAGAATTTCCACAATGGTGGCTGAGAAAGTTGTCTGGCCACGATATGTTCCATCCGAACACAAGCCTTCAATCCTCAGTTTGCAAGGATCTACTGTTGAACAGGCACCCATGATGAAAGCTGCCATCCATATGGCTTTCAGAGAAAACCCCCCGCTGGTGCACTTCTTGCTCCTTCATGGCATCTACACCAATGGGGGAGAAAGTAAGTACATTCAAATTTGTGCTCTCGAGAGAAGACATAATTAAATCACTTTTATTAATTGGTCTATTTTAATGTAATTCTCAGACATCCATGTGCTTATTGAGCGCGCGTACAAATTTCTGATGTCAAAAGGACAATTTGAGATTGTGGACGAGCCGGAGGAGGTGCAGATCAATCCTGGAGCTGAAATGAAAACGCCTGGCTTGAACGACCGACAGAGAGCAGTGGCATTGTCTGCACCCACCCAACTGCATGGCAGTGTTCTGTTTGGTCTGGCGCGGATCAATGGCTTCCGCCCTCCGGCCGGAACCATCCAGCGTAGGCATATTTAAAATTTCTCACTTCTGGATTTCATTTTATTCCCTGCTGTAGACAAAAGGCACTGGGCTCGTTTTTTGGAATCCAATTTCATTAGACCTGGAGGCGCTGCAGCTCATCTTGACCTGCAGGACGTCATTGAAGCGGATCATGGTACAATTTTTAAAATATATAATGTGTGTGTGGCAGTTTGCACAAAAAAATATATATTGCCAACAAATTCAGCCGAACTCGTCCTACTGGAATAAAGATTTTTCACAAATATTTATGTTCAAACAGACCCAGACCATGAAGACGAAGGCGCCGCCACAATCAACGGCGCTGCTGAACAAAATGCTGACCAACACTTAGAGCTGCCTGATCTCGAAAACATGTACCCTGAGGATCAGCATCGTGGCCTCGTCATGGCAGGCAACGAGAGAGACGAGCTCGTCCAGCATGAAGAGACTGATGCTCAACTGAATCTGCAGGGCGTCGAGGCAAAGAGTGACGCTGAACGTCAACCGGACGGATCCCACCAAGATCCAGCAGCGGGTGCAGGACAAGGAGTTGCTCAGCTTGTCATTCTCGAAGGTCAGGTTTTTAAATAAAATGCATGTCTCGTGTGGTGTAGTAGAAGTGCGCATTGCTTTAATGCATGAGTTCAGAGATGATGGAACTTATTCTTATAAATGGGGGAACTAGTTCTACTTTTTTTATAATTTTATAAAATTTTTGACAATTATTTCTGTTCGAACAGGCCACGGAGACGAAGGCGCCGCCACAATCAACGGCGCTGCTGAACAAAATGCTGACCAACACTTAGAGCTGCCTGATCTCGAAAACATGTACCCTGAGGATCAGCATCGTGGCCTCGTCATGGCAGGCAACGAGAGAGACGAGCTCGTCCAGCATGAAGAGACTGCTGCTCAACTGAATCTGCAGGGCGACGAAGCAACGAGTGACGCTGAACGTCAACCGGACGGATCCCACCAAGATCCAGCAGCGGGTGCAGGACAAGGAGTTGCTCAGCTTGTCATTCTCGAAGGTCAGGTTTTTAAATAAAATGCATGTCTCGTGTGTTGTAGTAGAAGTGCGCATTGCTTTAATGCATGAGTTCAGAGATGATGGAACTTATTCTTATAAATGGGGGAACTAGTTCTACTTTTTTATAATTTTATAAAATTTTTGACAATTATTTCTGTTCGAACAGGCCACGGAGACGAAGGCGCCGCCACAATCAACGGCGCTGCTGAACAAAATGCTGACCTACACTTGGAGCCAGCTCAAGTTGCTGTAAATCCAGGCGTCCAGGTTCAGCAAGTCGAAGCTGGACATCTTCAGGGTCAAGCTATTCGTCGAGCAGCTGATCCGTCTTGGTGGCTCGTCTACAAATTGAAAGGGTCCCCTGGACTTGAGAAACTTGAAAGCTCTTTCTGTCAGCACGTTGATGTCTGAGAATTATACATTAAAATAGATGAATTAATAAAAGTGGCGTTTCTTTGAGAGCACACATTAAAAATAACTTACTCTCCCCCCCCATTGGTGTACACATCATTTAGGAGCAGGAAGTGGACCAACGACGGGTTATCCTTGAACGTTGTCTGAATTATAGCTTTCATGTATGGTGCTTGCTCCTCAGCAGAAGTTGGAATGGCTTGGATAGCTGGCTTATTTTCAGCAGGGATGTAGTTAGGCCAAATAACTGTATTTATTGCAGCAGCGCCTGCAGCCATCATGAGCCCTCTTCTAATTGCTGTAAAAAGAGAACCATAAATTTACAAATTTAATTAGGTTCATATATTTTTATTATCTAAAGAGGATACTGGTTGATTTTTCTTGAGCATGAATCTATATTTTATGATGAAATAAAATGTAGTTGATTGATATCCAACTTCTTTGGATATTTTAATATCTATCGCACGAAAAGTCGTCTTCAAAACCCAAGCTAGACTTCCAAAAATTGCAAAATTTGGTGCGTCCAAATACTCCAAATGCCGATTGAGCATGAATTTAATTTATACATACATAATTATACCCAATCAACTAATCATAATGATAATTTATGCATTGATCACAAAGTATAAATTCAACAATTTAAAATAAATTTAGCTAAATTCATTATTAGCACGTACGTACAATATAATTATGTGTCTTTTATCCAAAATATATGATTTCATTTTGTGATTTAAGCCAAAAGTTGTTAATTTTTGATAAAAAGCAGGAATTATCACTTTACTGTTCCGCGCAGGTGAACAAAAATTCTCATAAGGCCATGTTACATAATTCTTGCGAATTCACAAATTTTTGAAAAATTCTCAAAAAATGTACATAAATCTTTTCGGCAATCGTTTCTGCACCAAATATTTCCCAAGCCCTTTTCCATTATAAATTATAAGTGCGCAAATAGTTAAAAAAGGAATCAATATTACAGTCAGGAGAAAAATTCTGTGCAAAAAATTCAATGCGTGCATAAATTTTAGAATGTTTTTGATTACGATCGAGAGTATCACGATCGAAATAATAATATTATGTCTTTATACCTTTTCGTGTAAAAAACTATAGAGCAGATGTCCGCAGCGATCCAGGCAGAATGAAGATGAACAACACGGATTCTATTCAAGGGAACTTTCAAGACATTCAAATACGTCAGGTTCGAGACAGGTCGGTTGTCCGTTAGAAAGAGCGAGAGGCGACGAGGCGACAACAAACAAAGAAATTCAAGTCACAGACACATAGACCACCAAGTCAAGTCAAGCGAATTGCGAATGTCAAATCCAAGAAATTGAACGTGTTTGAACGTGTCGTGAAGAAGTGCAATTTAGCCAACATAACAGTGTTACACACATAGTCTTGGTTATAATTATAATGTATTTAATTATTTCTGGTTACATTTGCTGGGGTTTTTTTTAAATCGAATAAAATTTTAAAAATTAATTTTTGTTTTCATTCGCTGATGTTTAAGTAAGAATCTTTCCCTCTCATGACTTTATTATTATTTTTTTTAAATCTAGAATCTGGATCGTATTATTTTAGTTCTGTTGGTAGGTCTTGTTTTCGCGGCGTTCGCTTCGCGCCAATATGTGTCCTTCAGCCCGCTTCAGCCGTAAAAAAACGAAACTCTTGGAAGTCCCTCAAATAAATTTTTTTTACATCTCCTCTCCGCACACTTTTCCATCTAACACCAACAACGTTGCCAAGCGTTGCATTACTTCTGACGTTCTGACGTCACTTGAAAGTGGTCTCTAGGAAACCGTCTCCAAACCAATAGCATACCGGTTATTACTTTGGTGGCATTTGATAATCGCAGAAAAATAAAAAATAAAAACTAAATGAATTTTTTCAAATTTATTTAATAGGAACCAATAAAAACCATATAAAAGAAAGGAAAAACTAAAAATTATCTACTTTTTTCGTAAATTTTTAAATAAAGAGAAATGAATATTTAATTCATAAAAATACCGGTACTGATATTTTCTTCAATATTAATCGGTTTAACATTCGTTTGATCTAAATAGTTCCAAGAATGATTTTTGAAGGCGCCACTGGCGCTTATCGAGAGTGCTTTGGAAGCAAAATTCCTTTATCCACCTATCCACCACCAATAGCACGAAACAATTTCCGATGCAGATCAATTAATTTCGTCAAAAGTAGCACTTTCTAAAAGTTCTAATGAATCATCATTGGGTTTTTGCTCGTCTCTGGTAGGCCTGTTGGCAGCAGAGCATCGGCCTCTCAATACAAAAGGCCTTTGAGAAGTGAGTTTCCTTGATATTTTATGTTAATGACAGTTAACGATCGGTTTGTTTTGCACAATTTTGTGTCAGATATTAGACGTAACCCGACGATTATCTGATTAATTTGTGAAATTTGCTTGTCGCTTCTGGAATTACATACTTATAATAACCTATATGTCAATTTCCTCTAAAAAGAGTTGGTCTTTGAATGTCGAAAAAGAGATCAAAATTGACGTCAATTAGCTGCTAGAAATTGACGCATGATTTTTGTAAAAAATGAAATACATTTTTAAAATTTTCAGTTGACGCTATATCTAATACTCAGCCGCAATGACTTCAGTATCCCTCCGTCAGCAAAAGCTGGATCAGCAGGTTGATTTATTAATATGAAAAATTGCATATGTACTGAGACGTTTTTTCAACTTCAGAAACAACTCATGGAGCAGAGACTTAAGCAAAAACGACAGACACCTGGCATGGTGTTGGCCTCAGATGCTCGACCAACCATGTCCTCCAAGTCTCGAAAGCAGCAGTGGGTTCTTCAGGGATCAAATTCTAAGAGCCAAGAGTTGCATGGTAATTTTTATTTCAAATAATCCATAAGAAAATTTATATAAAAATTCAATACACCAGGCTATGACGGTCCACTCCATTTTTCAATGGCCGAAGGCAGTCCGGACAGTGTCAACCCCATTTCGGCTCCTGTCAAACCCTCGTCGCGTGAGGATATTGACCTCGAAGACCAAGAGTCAAGTCCAGTGGCCGAACCGTCCGAAGAAATGTTACCATTGGACTCGACGCAGTCCGAGGGCAGTTTTGCACAAATGGTGAGGACAAATTTTCCTTCAATTAAAAAATTAAGGATTAAAATATTAAAAATTTTTTTATTATGCAGGATTCACCTGGAGCTGGAGATGACAGGGGAGGACAGCTTTTGCTCTCTGGCGTTTTAGGCAACTTGGAGCAGTTTGCAATCGAACCAGCACCGCAGGGAGCTCTGGTCAAATGCAGAATCACCAGAGATCGCAAAGGAATGGACAGAGGGCTTTTCCCCACCTACTTCCTGCATTTGGAAAGGGACGACGGCAAGAAAGTTTTCCTGCTGGCAGCTCGGAAACGCAAGAAGAGCGCCACCAGCAATTACCTCATCTCGACGGACCCGACCGATCTGTCGAGAGCAGGAGAGTCTTTCGTTGGAAAGCTACGATCCAACCTTTTGGGCACCCATTTTACCATTTTTGACGGGGGCCAGTCGCCCAGCAAGACAGGGAGCACTAACAAGAGCTCGCCCCGACAGGAAGTCGCAGCTGTTATTTACGTAATTTTTTATTTAAAAGTTTCGAAAGTAAAAGCTTTAATATTGAAATTTTATTTAAAACAGGAGACCAATGTTTTGGGCTTCAAAGGTCCAAGGAAGATGACGGTTATTCTGCCCAGCATGACACCAGAACACAAAAGAGTGCCATTTAGTCCACAGAACAATGCGGAAAGTCTTATTGGTAAGATAGGAAATGTGGTTGGAGGAATTTATTTATTTTCTATTAATTTTCCTATGCAGAGTGCTGGAAGGCCAGAAGAATGGATTCATTGATTGAACTCCACAATAAAACGCCAGTCTGGAATGATGACAGTCAGAGTTATGTTCTTAACTTTCATGGCCGAGTGACCCAGGCATCAGTCAAGAATTTCCAAATTGTTCATGATAGCGACAGTCAGTATAATTTTATGAATTAATTGTTACTCATATTTTTCTCAAAAAGATTTTTAACACTCGATTTCTTCAACAGAAAATTAATTATGCTCCTTGTTTTTTTTCCAGTTGATTACATTGTCATGCAGTTTGGTCGTGTTGCCGAGGACGTTTTTACCATGGACTTCAGGTACCCGATGTGTGCTCTTCAGGCTTTTGCCATTGCTCTCTCTAGTTTCGACAGCAAACTAGCCTGCGAATGAATTATCCAATCTACTATTGGTGTCCTTAATTGAAGATTAATCCGTCGAGCTCGATCTCTTCAATGTCTTTTAAAATGTAGCTGAATCTCCGAGCACCAAAAATTTTCATACCAAAATGATGATTATAGTGGAGCATGCAACGTTTTTTGGTGTGCAAATGTATTTTGATCTGTCCTTGCGATGTTTAGGAGCTGTGTGTGTGTGAATATTTCAAAAATTGATCTGTATATTCTTGGCTGTTGCGAGACTGTGCAGCTGACTTTTGGAACGTTTACCTGATTCTTGCATTTACACGTCAAAGTTTCGAACTCACAAAAAGGGAAACTCACCAAGCAAGCACCTTAACTGCTCCAATCCATACAATGGTAGCCGTGACGTGTTTACTTATTTTTGTATTTTTCTAAGTATGCTTTGTCCATTTACAAAATACGATCGAAGCTCAAAAACGATGAGATCTCTTTTTTGCATTTTCCGCCTCTCATATCATGAATCTGTGGTAACAAAACTATTTTATGTACTATTTGTTAGACAGCAGTGACTTTTGCTGCATCAACTATTTGTGTTAGCATACAGACGACATACAAATTTACAGGCTAAATATTGGAGCTTAACCATTGTGGTAGTTGTAAAATAATCAGTTATTGCCTCAGTACATAGTTGTGTGGTCAATAAAATAATTCAATAATTGAAATAATTTTCTTCCAAGAAAAATCCCATTCAGATTGGTGTAAACTTTTATTCTCATCACTAAAAGCAACATCGACTTATTTACCGGTATTTGCAGAACCACTTCCTATCAAACGGAGATATCCAATTCTGGACACCTGCCATGTTATTCCGAATGATATATTCCATAGTGTATGGGTTCAAATTATTCTTGGCGTCCTCGATTTCCTGCAACTTATCCTTTTCCAGCATTTCTTGGCTGACAGCTCTGGCCTTGAATGGCAACTTGTTAGCGATTTCCCCGAGCCAAAGTTTGACTTCATCGAAGGTACAATGACCTCCGATTTCAAGGACAATTCTTCCAGCCTTGAGTGGCGTCACATAATGGTCGATGGCACCTTTTCCACCTCCCATTCGCTGACCTTGGCCCTAAAAACAAATTTAATTTTCACCAATGAGTTAACGAAGAAGGTTAACAAAGCAAATCAATTTTGCACCTTCTTGGTGACGGGCAGCCACGGCGGATCTATTCTCCACTGCGGAAACATGGTGTTGGGATTAATTTTTCGGCCCAAGGTATAGCGGACCATCTCAAAGTGGTTGTACGCCATTCGTCCTCCACAAAGGGCCTTCGGGCATTAAAAAAAATAATTTTCAAAATTCACAAAAATTTCATTTTTCTCAACCTGAATTCCATATTGCTTGTGAATAAGAAAATTGTGATATTCTTCTGGTCCTCTCATGAGGTCAAGTCTTTTGGTCATTTTCGGTGGACGAATCGTTGCAGTGTACTGAGGCTGCCTATCCACAACTTTCAACTTCCTCCTCTCAGGGAAATCAATATCTGCAAATTTTTTTTTAATTTATTTGACAATAATTTTTAAGACTTAACTTAAATCAATAAATAATTAAAATGTGATTTTGCGTATTTTTTACATACCTCCAAATGTTACAGGTGGAGCAAAGTATTTGAGTCCTGCTACGGGTACCCGAAGCACTGCTAGTTGCAGGCCTGAAAATGAACATAATATTGAAAATAATCCAATACATGATTATTATGTATAGAATAAGTTACCTGCTGCCGTTTGCATGGCAGTTTTTATGGTCAGCGTGAGGCTCATTTTCTTCCCTTCTTATAATAATTTGAGATAATAAAATCACAAATATGTGATCTTCTAGAAAGCTTTTTAAACTCTTTTCGATAGGATCTATTAGTAGAAATGAATGATAATTCTTAAAAAAGTGTAATTCTCGGTCTAATGAACAATGAACGGAAAATGTTGTGTTTTTATCAAATTGTTGTTGTTCGCTCTCCGTACTCTCTCATGACTCATGCCTTCCGCAACCACGCCCCTCAAAGAAGCAAGAAGTCTCCTTGCAAGAAGTAAAGAAGGGAATTATTCTCCTGAACGCGACAAAATTTGCTGGAAATCGCTGCTCGGTCTGGTGGTGGGGACGCGTACGGACGGAGGGGTACGATGCGACTTGTTTGCTTGATTTGACTGCCCGCGCCGCTCAGCCAGCACATTAAATTGATTATATACTTCGCTTAATTTTGTTTTCAGATTGGTTTGCTGCTAGAATTTGAAAACAAAATTAATTAACAATAAATTATAATTTAATAATGCGCAGAGCTACTTTTAAACTTTTCACGGGTTTATTTAAAAATGCGACTGCGAATGCTGGATTTGACTGCCCGCGCGCGGCTCGACTATACATAAAATATACAAACTCCAGAATTCTGAATTTTATGCGACTGCTAATGCTGGATTTGACTGCCCGCGCGCGGCTCGACTATACCGGACTATACATAAAACACAAAGTGCAGATTGCTGAATTTTTGTTTTTAGTTTCTTTTTGATGCTTAAATTTAAAAACTAAATTATTTAACAACAAATTATAATTTAAAAATGCTTAGAGCTACTTTTTAAATTTTTAACGGGTTTAATTGAAAATGCGACTGCGAATGCTGGATTCGGCTGCCCGCGCGCGGCTCGGCCTATCAAATATACAAACTGCAATTTGCTGAGTTTTGTTATAACAACTGATTTCTTTTAAATAAACGTGTTAAATTTGATATGCGACTCCGTTCGCTGGTTTTGGCTGCACGCGCGGCTCAGCCAAATTAAATGCGAAGCGTTGATTGCTGAATGTTGTTATCAGTTTCTTTTGCTGCTAGAAAAAAAATTAAATTAACAAATAATTCTTTATTAGCGATGCTTACAACACTGATAATTTTATTTAAATGTACGCGCTAAATTTAATAATGTGACTACGTTTGCTGGATTAGGCTATTTGGTTGACGAACAATTTTCGTATTGAGGAAAAGCCATATCTCTTCATTTCAACAACATATTGTATTATTAAAAATAAAATCTTATTGGACTAAAAATTTGCTTTCAATTGAAGTTCCTTGTTGTTTATTTTAATAAATGAAGGTATTTAGTTAAAAAATAAAATAATTTTTTTAATTCACACAATTGTTTTAATTGATGGTGCAACCAAATAGCCTAATCCAGCAAACGTAGCCGCATTATTAAATTTAGCGCATTCATTTAAATAAAATTATTAGTGTTTTAAGCATCGCTAATAAAGAATTATTAGTTACTTTAATTTTTTTTATTCAAGCAACAAAAAGAAACTGATAACAACATTCAGCAATCAACACTTCGCATTTAATGTGGCTGAGCCGCGCGTGCAGCCAAAACCAGCGAACGGAGTCGCATATCAAATTTAACACGTTTATTTAAAAAAAAATCAGTTGTCATAATCCCTAATGAAGTATTAGTTACTATTTTAATTTTGTAAATTCTAGCATCACAAAGAATCTGAAAACAAAACTCAACAAATTGCAGTTTGTATTTTTTAATAGGCCAAGCCGCGCGCGGGCAGCCGAATCCATGCAGCATTCGCAGTCGCATTTTTAAATAAACCAGTCAATAAATTCAAAAAGTAGCTCTAGGCATTTTTAAATTATAATTTGTTGTTAAATAATTTAATTTTTAAATTGAAGCATCAAAAAGAAACTGAAAACAAAAATTCAGCACTCTGCACTCTGTATTTTATGTATAGTCGAGCCGCGCGCGGGCAGTCAAATCCAGCATTCGCAGTCGCATTTTTAAATAAACCCATGAAAAATTTAAAAGTAGCTGTAAGCATTTTTAAATTATAATTTGTTGTTAAATAATTTAGTTTTTAAATTGAAGCAGCAAATAGAAACTGAAAATAAAACTCAGAAATCTGCAGTTTGGATATTTAATGTGGCCGAGCCGCGCGGGCAGCCAAATCCAGCGAACAGAGTTGCATTGTTACCCCTCTCACCGCGCACTGCCTTCCCCCACCAACACACCATTTTACATTGACTTTTTGCCGGGCAGCCAAATCCAGCAAAAGTTGTCGCGTTCGTGAGAATCGTTCGTAAAGAAGGTAGAGGGGGGCGTTTTCTCAAATATATTTTTATAATCCTCTTTTGAGAGTATTAGAGGTTCCAATTTTAAATTTTATTTATTCTATAAGAAACAGTCAAGAAAATACAATTTTTAATAATAAATAGAATCCAAAAACTTCAATAAAAATAATTAAAAAAAGATAATATTTTGTAGCCAATTTATATTTTTTAAGATTTTCCGAGATTTTCATCAAATTTTTTATAAAGAATGAACAATGACACAAAATTTCAATTTGGACAACAATTCAGCAACTTTTATTCCAGATAGTATTTGTAACATTATTTTTTTTAATTGGACTCATTACAATATTGGATCAGCCAATTCAGTTTAAACTTTGAACAAACAATAAAAACTTTAACCAAAATAATTGAAAAGAACCTTTGTGAAGTGGTTCTCGTAATACTAAGGAGGACTTCTCTGCAACATTTTCGCATGAGAGCGTATAATATGAGCTTTCAGAATTTTACATCAGAATGGTACATGTATGTACATAATTATGGTATATCTATTATTTTAACAAAAAAAGATACTATATATGTGGAATGCATTATTGTACACTAGCTTCAACAGAATTTTTTTTTCACATGAAACATGGGCAAAATCGTTGACTTAGTCGGTGAACTTCCTGTTGGGGTTGCGCCCGAAGAGAGCCACCCTGATCTCAGGAACGAACTGATTGGCAATCAGCTCAAGACGGGCCTCCAGGGTGTTGACGATCTTGATGCGGCCACGCTGAGCAAGAAGGATGACTCCTCCACAGCTGTCGAAAAGACAGATATTTTTAATTCAAATTTTTAATTTCGCAAACGCGAAAAACATACCTGTTGGCAGGCAAGGAATTGTCGGGGTCCACTTTGACAACAACCTCCTTGCCAGTTTTCTGCTTATACTCGGCTTGGGCTCCACCAATGAGACGTTCGACTAGTCCCTTATCAGCTGCACGGCAACGAACGACAACTTGTGCTTCCAAAAGCTAAGAAAAGGAAGTTTTGAAATTAATTTTTCACAGCTTCTAAAGTAAATAAATTTTTAATTTTAAAATAAAGTTTAAACAAGTTATTGAAAACTATTTTTTATAACTATTAAAAATATAAAAATTAAAAGTCCTGCAATTTAATTACCTGCAACAGACCCTGCTGGATGAGAGAATACAGAATTTGGCTATATTTGCCCTGATCCTGATTTATGTTGCCAAGTTGTTGCCGTGCGTCTTCCAAGACACTCTCCACATGATCCTCTCGTACCTTCAGAGCCTTCAGACGGGCCTGGTTGAGCATGTTTGAAGATTGGCTGCAAGAAAAAAATTTATTCAAAATTTCAATTAAAAAAAAGTATTTTAGTACATTTTCTTCTGGAGCTCAACCTGCTTCTCCTTCCTCTCATAATACTCCATAACTTTGAGGCGACTCTGCTGGACCAGACGACCCTTTTCAATGTTGAATTCTTCCTCGGCCTTTGCATCGATTTCCTCCGCCTTCTCATTGGCCTCCTGCTCGATGAAGGCCATCATGTGTTTGATCTGAAAGATAATTTTTTTGTTTTAATCATTTTATTTTTTAATAACTCAAATATCCGATTGAGCCGGTTTTGAGTTTTGAAATAAAAGAACTCGTGACCGCATCGGAATGTCAAGCGAGACAACCAGCAATATGGAACAATTTTTTTCTAAAAAATCTTCACCAAAAAGTGGTAAAGCGCAAAAGCTATCAAGCAAAACTTTGATGTCTCACCTGCTTCTGAACATCTGCATCGCTGAGAGCCATTTTTAGTCACTGAGAGCGTAAATTCGGCACGGAAACGACGGAAAATTGAGCGAAAAATTATCTCGTCTAGAGACTGTCAATGATCGAAAGATGACGGTGAATCGGACAGTTTCGGCCACCAATCGGCTGCCCTCGTATTGTGGATACGGAAATTGGGCATGCGCAATAGCGCACTGACATGCGCTTATCACAGCTGGACCAAAGCTGGACATTGTTTATTATGTGATTTTTTATACGCACTTACGCAGGCAGAATTAAACAATTAAAACACACTTTTTCGAATCCTGGAATGAACGCAGTGAATAAAAGTGAAATTTATCCTGAAGGTAAATAATTTCTTAGTAAAGTACTACATAATTAAAACGTCATCAATATATTTTTGTTCAATTTTTCATGACACTGCGCGTTGAATCTTATGAATTCATCAAAATTGCTTCTTGTTTGCTTTTCAGCTTGACCGTTGACCTCGTGACAGCGTGATTTCGATATGGATTTGTGATTCATACAAATAAACAGACGCAAAGCAGTCCCGTGACATCGCTGCTCGCCTTATTTTGTTGCCAGTCTTGGAAAAACTTTTGGACTGCAGAGGGAAGTTCATCGACAGGACGAGGATGGGTTCCCATACTTCCAATTATGGAATAATTTTAATCCTAGCCTTCTGCAACCTCACCCAAGGGCTGGTCTTCTTCCAGCCTGAGCAAATCCACATTTCTTATGGAGGTGATTTATTTTTTATAATTATTATTACATATATGAATATTTTTCTGTTTATTTTTCAATCATTTTTATTGAAACCACAATACAAGATTAACAACTCCTAACAGAATTTAAAATTTTACCCGGCGTGTTAAATTTTTCCATCAATTGCTTTTTACATTTATTTTTATTTATGAGAAACTAAAATGAAAAAATATCCAATATCTGTTACATAATAATTATAATATGGATTACATAATCCATTACAAATTTTTAATTAGAGTTTTTTTTCAAACTTTTACAATTTCCAGATTCACCATCTGAAATGATAGTAACCTGGAGCACAGTTGACCCCACCGAACACTCTATTGTTGAGTACGGTATAGGGGGTCTCATTTTGAATACTCATGGGAGGGCAGAGGTGTTCATAGACGGGGGCAAAAAGTCTCGAACGCAGTTCATTCACACTGTCAAACTGAAGGACCTCACCCCTGGAACAACCTACAGTAAGATGGAATTATTTGTTAGTTAAATATCAAAATTAATTTAAACGTCTTTTTAATCTCCAACCAGTGTACCATTGTGGAAGCAGCAAGGGCTGGTCTGAAATCTTCACATTCACAACAATGAAAGAGGGAACCAACTGGTCACCAAGATTTGCAGTTTTCGGTGATATGGGAAATGTAAACGCTCAGTCACTGCCTCGAATTCAGCAGGAAACGCAGAGAGGCCATTTCGATGCAATTCTTCATGTTGGAGATTTTGCTTATGACATGAACACCGTAAATTTAAAAATTAAAGAATTGAGCTCATGAAAGGATAAAATCAATTTTGCAGGATAACGCCAAAGTTGGAGACGAATTCATGAGACAAATCCAATCGATTGCTGCCTATGTGCCTTACATGACTTGCCCTGGAAATCATGAGGAAGCTTAGTAAGTTTAAGAATAAACGTATTGATGCACATTTTGTGCGTGTGTGTCTTTTTTTTAAGTATTTCAATTGAAATAACTTTTAGTTTGTCGGAAAAATTTTACCGGTTTTACACTATGGACAAAGTATTGAAAACTGATTTTAATTTTACAGCAACTTCAGCAACTACCGTGCTCGCTTTTCAATGCCATCCTCTCTGGACAGCATGGTTTACAGTTTTGACATCGGCCCAGCTCACATCATCGGCATCTCGACCGAATTCTACTACTTCCTGGAGTACGGCTTTAAGCAGGTGGTGAAGCAGTACGAGTGGCTTGAACAGGACCTTATCAAGGCAAACAAGAACCGCAAAGAGCGCCCTTGGATCATCACCTTTGGCCACCGTCCGATGTACTGCACCAATCTGAACAGGGACGACTGCACCAAGCACGAGACCCTGGTCCGTTCAGGCCTGCCTTTCTTGCACTGGTTTTCTTTGGAAGATCTGTTCTATGAGCATGGCGTCGATTTGGAAATTTGGGCTCACGAACATTCTTATGAGAGGCTTTTCCCAATTTACGACTACAAGGTCTACAACGGGAGTTACGAGGCACCCTACACCAACTACAAAGCTCCTGTTCATATCATCACAGGATCAGCCGTAAGTCTATTAAATTTAAGAAAAAAATGTTTATTTAAATTTTTGTATTACTTTGAAGGGCTGCCAAGAGGGTAGGGAACATTTCACTGGTGACAAACCAGACTGGAGCGCTTTCAGGAGCAACGACTACGGTTATGCAAGAATGACTGTCCAAAACAAGACTCATCTCTATTTTGAACAAGTATCCGACGATAAGGCAAGTTGAAGCAATATAGTCTGTGTTCACAAGTTCAATAAAAACTTCATTGTGGTTCTTTTAGAAGGGGGCTGTTTTGGATAGCTTGTGGCTCATCAAAGATCTTCACGGCCCTTACAAAAATTGAATCCAGGACAAAGAAGGTACTGTAGTTTTAAGGAAAAAGCAGGGAAAGATATCAGCGTAATATGACTAAACAGAGAAAATGATTCTGAGCTTTACAGTGACAAGGCAGATGCTGTGATCAATAATTATTTTCATATTTTATCACACCAGTACTTTCTCAAATTATTTTATATCAAGAGAATGTTCATGCATTCCAATTAATATCTGTAATTAAGTTCAAATTTGTATGAATATAAATTTATTTCTGTATCAAAATCATCGACTAGATAAAAACTTCAATGAAGGTTATTTCTTACAATCCCACTGCTTTAATTTGGCCCCTTCCTGGTCCCCACGGTTTCTCGTTTGGATCTTCTGTGACGACACAGTTTCCGCGGCCCCTTCTGTTTGCTGCAGTTGTCCTTGTTAGTCTGAGATACTCTTCCAACAAGTGCCAGTCCGCCCCAGTCGGTGCCACCACGAAATCACAGCCTCTGCCCTGTAAGCAGCAATGCACACTTTCCGAGTTGATGGCAAAGTGCGGGCTCAAGTCCATCAGAGGCACTTTGGCCCTCTCACTGCCCACCCCTGTAATGAACATGTCGTCTATCCAGAAAAAGTCTGCACCCAAAACCTGAAGCACTTTGCTGGCCACAGCAGGGGTTGTTACGTACAGCCAGCTAAAATAATTGAATTTAATTTTTCTGTATATTTAAAAATAGAAGTTGAATCAATACCCAGAGAGAAACCTAGGATAGTGACCGCTGGGCCAGTCAGTTTTTGAAACGCGCCACTTGGTTTTGTGTCTCTCTGGTGTCATTCCGTCCAGGACGTATCCAATCATATTTTGGTGAACCAGTGAAGGCGCCAGGGCCAGCAAACGCGGCAGGTCGACGGCTATGTCGTCGTCCTGCTTGATCAGAAATTTAGCTTGAGGGCAAAACTGGACGGCCCATTGCAAACTCATGGCGTGTTTGTAGGTCAGGTTGTGGTAGTCCTCCAAAAAATTCCCCTATTTCGTTGATATATTTTTTTTTAGTGCAAAATTAAACAGATCAAATTTACCTGTATAATGTCATCATACTGCATGGCCTCTTTTTCCACTTCTTTTTGTTCAATGAAATTATAGCCCTTTTGGTCCTTCCTCGGAAGCGCCAGAGAAAAAATCCTCCGCACCCCCATTTTGGCTAGAACCTTTAAATATAAATCTTATTTCTTTATCTAGAGCATATAAAGAATTTTGACAAAGAACACCTTCAGTGGCATCCCATTTCTGTGAGCCGTTCGTCCCTTCAAGTCTCCGGCATGCGAAGTTATTACGATGAGGGCTTTCACTTCCTCGTCAGGGTGGCACGCGTACGGACTAGCGAGATAATGAAAGGTGGTGAAATTTAGGAGGTGCTGGTCCTGCTGAAGTAAAACTGGAGGTCTGCGGTACTTTGGTCGCGGCACTTCCATCTGCTCCATTAACAAGCAGAGCAAAAGTGTGGCGGTGCAGCAGACCAGCAACAGGCTCAGCACCAGGCTGGTCTGCCTCAGGAACTTTGAGGACATCAAATTATTCTTCTTGATTAGAAAAAATAATAATATATTATTCCACTTCAATTAAATTCGTTTTTTTTTTCTTCAAATTTGTAGATCTTTTTTTTAATGAAATTCGTTAATATTTTAATCTATCTATACCTTTTAGGCCCTTTTTGAATTTGATCAAGAGCAGAAATCATCGCCCGTCGTTGTTCTCCATTCAAAATTGTAATTGGCACTGACGGAGACTTTCTGCTTGTAGGTCAGCGTCGCAGCACACAATACGTACGGAGTAAGTTACTGCCGCGCGCATATATAAAGCAAAAGAAACAGGGTCTGCGGTCCCACGTGGGAGTCACATAGGCGAACCTGTCTTGCCGTATTTGTCTTGGGGCTCTGGCAGTCGTTATTTGCTAGAAAGCGATCTCTGTCAGCGACACACAACTTTTGCACTGCCTCTCTCTCGCTCACGAAATATGTTTCACGTAATGCACTCTGCGTATAAATACATACATATATTTTAATGCGTGTTTTACGACCGCTGAGGATAAAAAATTTCTCACGCTCCAGGCAGTGCCCAGTAATTATTTAAAAACTGCCTCGTCAGACATGTTATGACTGCAAATATTTTTAGTAGGTTTTAGTGAATATAAATAAATGGAGTAAATTTCTGGAAAGAGTTGGTCACCATATTTCTGCCAACATTTGGTTTATTGGGATTTATTCCTACAATACTAAATGTATGGTTATTTTAGAATCAAATTGAATTAAATCGGGTTTTGCTAAGATGTATTACGACATTCATTACAATATCATTGTCAAATCAAAGCTTCAATAATCAGCACACAAAAATCATAATTTGGCTCCTCTAGATGACTTCATACAGTTCTCATCTCTATAAAAGAAATCCACTCAAAAGAAGTGTAAAAAATTACAAAGTTTTAAAGAATTAGGAATGTAATTGAAAATTTTTTGTAACCTGTTTGCAGTATAACCTTCCGAATTTCAAAAAATGTCAAAGATTAAAAATTAAGCAATTTAATGAGTTTTTCCGTCAATTAGCTCTCAGCAAATTTCATGTTGATGATGTTTTGAATCACAAAAAATAAATAAAAATGAACAATTCATCCTGCGCTTAATGGATAGGAACTAGAATAAAAACTCTAAATAATAATTATTCAATAACTTAAAACACTACACTTCCGCACCCTAACTCAGTCCTCTTTGGATACAATTTTAATTTGTTGAAAGTCCTACTGGGGTCCAGATGTCGAAATGACTTGGCCATCTGGACCTTCCACAATCAGCATGATCGAACCGGTCTGAGTGATGCCGTTGCCATCACCAGTGCGGATGCACTCTCCCTGGTGAGCGGCCCAGTCTTTGCGTTGGCAGAAGGTCGAGCAATAGGGCGTCCGACGACACAAGGAGCACTCGGCAAAAGCCTCTCGATTGCAGTTGGCGCACTTTTTGTTCTCGTCCGACTCGGTGCTTGGCTGGAGACACGCAGGCTCAAGCGAGTCAACCACGTGGACAGGAATCGGTTCGTTGGAACGTGTATCAAAAACTGCTCTTGAACAAACAACTTGGGTTTCAAGTTTGGCATTCATAATCGCCTGTTCCTTCTCTCGGGCAAACCGCTCTCGCAATTCCTCCACCTCCTGTTTGTACGTTTCCTTGACCTTTTCCAACTGCGACTGCAATCAACCATTCATGTTAAATGAATTCAAATATTAATCAGAATATTTTGAATGATTTAAATGTACCTTGAATCCTTGTGCTAGTTTTAAAATTCTGCACCCATACTCCTCTAGCTTGCTCATTTTTTGATCTGCAGTACCAACCAAGAAGTCAGAGTCATCAGGGTCTCCGACATGCATGATGGAGTCAACCGCATTATCAGCGTTGCTTTCGTCGTCATTACAAGAGCCGCCGTTGCTGTCCTCTCCACCACTGATGTCTTTGCCTCTTTTCGTCAAAGGGCCGTCGCCAGTGTACTTCCTCTTCCGCCTCTTGTACGGGGTGAACAACCTGATGGGGCCAGCGGCTGAGTCGTCGTCACAGCAGGCCGAACAAGTGCAGCTTGTGGCATGCGGCGTCAAAATGTTCTCGTCGATTAACGTTTGTAAACTTCGACCTCCAAATCTAAAGAAAAATTATTTCTATTGATTATTTGTTCAAATTGTTAAATATTTGACAAAAATTGAAAATATTGTTTATTCCATTTTATAAAAATATTTATCGAAGTTAAAATTTAATTCAATTTGTTCAATTTAATTCAATGACTTTTTCTATAAACAAACCTTATGCTTCTTTTCCAATCCTTGCTCGACGCCCGACCGCAAAGGGCCTCGAACTCGCTAGGCGTGTACCAGTTGTTGCCCACCTTGATGCATTTGCCTCGTCCGCCTGAGCCGAAGCGCTCCTTGTGCAGCTCGGCACTCGTGTTCTTGCACCGGACGGGCAACACAGGCTGGTGGACCGACTCGTTCCAAGAATTGTTGCACGCCTCGCGCGGCGTTGGCGGTGTTTGCGGCACGTTGGACGAGGCGGCCACCTCGCCGTCGCTCTGGATGACGATGGTGTGCGTCCCTTTGAGCTCACCATTCTGCAGACAATGGATGCCTTGTGCACTTCGCACCCAGTTACGAATAGTCTCGGCTGTGTCTTTGTCTGGCCTGTCGCACAGAAAACTGCAAGAAAATTCAGAATTATTATAAAAAATATACTTCAATTATAACAATAAAAATTTAGTTATCAATTTAAAATTTTTAAGATTTATTTATCTTTTTGTGAAAATGCTCAATGGAACGCAAAAAAAGCTTTTTTATTATCGAATATTTTTAGATTTTCCCAATCAAATATCAAGACTTTTTTCAAATGCTTCAATTAAAATTTGTATATAATTATAAATTTAAATTAAATTCGTCTTTTTATTGTCAAATAGTTCAAGTATATAAATGGTATAGTACATGCATGTGTAATTTTTTTAACACACATTAAGAAACGTTTCTTTGACGTGCTCAATCGTAAAAGTGAAAAAAAATCACAATTTAATAAAAAAAAAAGAAAACTTCTATGTATGCAAAGTTTCATGGATGCATTTCATTTATACACATATTTTTTTTCAATACAAAGTATGAAATGTTTCAATTTTTCCTTTCAGCAGAGGTGTTTTTCTTGGACACGAGTGAACGCGAAACCGCCAAAGGTCCAAGACACGAACGTCCACGAAGTTGAGTGGAAATACGAACCTGTTGTCCACACAAAGGACAGGCTTGAAGTCGCCGCTCTGCAGCTGAAGGCCGTGCCCTGAGTCCTGAGTGATGACGTTGAAGGTGGTCCCGTTGCCGACCCCGAGCTGCACAGGCACCGTCACCACGTTCCCACCGGTCGAGACTCGCACGCTTTGACCTCGGCTTTCGAGTTCCTCGTCGTTCGCCGTCGCGATGCCGTCGTCGGTTTCGGAAATGTCCGGTAATACGACGGTGGCCGAAGAATTTCGATCTTCTTCCATTTTCCCGCCTACTGCGCCTCTTCGAGCCTCTGAGGGCCGCGACAGCCGCAAAACCGCAGATGTAAGACTGGACTCGGTGACCGAACGCAGAACTCGGCCCGATTTGAGTTGCGCCCTGAATGCCGAGGCGATGGATTTTTCGAAAAATATTGCACAATGGCTTCCCTTTACATGTAAAAACAACAACACAGCAGGAGAATTTGTGGTTCGATAAATCGCCACACGTCAGGAGTGTCGCTATATCATAGGAACTAAGAATTCTGAAGATAGAAGTGAAAAATTACCGAAATAAAACACAATTTCTGGATACATTTCTTTGGTAGTGGAATCATTACGTAAATAAGTTTATAGAAAAATCTTCTGAATGAATAATAGAATAAAATGTCATTTTAAACATCAAATTTTAGTAGCTGTTAATTATAAACATTTAAATATTGGTGATTTTTCCCGCGAAAAAAATTTGGATTAACTAACTACGTATTTGAATTTTGATCCAATTTGCAAGTTACAACAATTCAATTTTACATAAAAAATTTGAACTACACCTGGAATAATAATGAAATTTTTCTTAAATTATTCTTCATTCCGAATAGTGATGATAAAGAACTCTTTTGTCCCTGATTGGTTATTGGCTCTTTTGGGTTGATAGGCAACTGTGATTGGCTGATTTTAAAAAAGACGCTCTTGCTCACAGCCAATCAGGAGACTGGAATCCTCTCTGATGGCGTCTGGTCGGGTGTCAATGAATCCAGTGGCAGCCATAACAAACCCAGCTTAGTAACGACTTTAAATTCCAAATTTGGTCAGCTAGGATCAAAATTTATGTAAATCTACAGACCCAAACAATTTTATTTGAGTCATTTTACCTTTTTTTCATCATTCAACCTTAGAATGTCGGCCATGTCTTCGGTAAGAAGCGATTTTGCGGAAATATTTTTTCTCCGCATGACTTATGCCTTTGTTTTCAGCACTTCCTCGCTCGATAACGGCCAATTTGGGCCTTTTGGGCAGTTAACTAATTGCATTGTTCTGCTTTCAGGTGTCCAACGTAGAGAACCTGTCACCCCAAACTATACGGAGGGTTTGGAAAGAAATCACAAGTCTGGTGAAAGAGCCCCCAGAAGGCATTAAAGTTTTCATGAACGAGGAAGATATTACAGACATTCATGCTAATATTGAAGGGCCAGGTACACCTCAAGTTCTTTATTTCGGTTTTTTACTGAGACCTTGTTCAATTTCAGCTGGAACTCCCTATGCTGGTGGCGTTTTCAAAGTAAAACTAACCCTTGGAAAAGATTTCCCCTCCAGTCCACCAAAAGCATTCTTTCTCACAAAAATTTTCCATCCTAATGTGGCACCAAGTGGAGAAATCTGCGTCAACACCTTGAAGAAAGACTGGAATCCTGACCTTGGCATTCAACACATTTTGCTGGTATGGACAATGCAGCCTCTTAGACTGAAAATCCTAAACATTTTAATAATTTGTAGACCGTGAAATGCCTCTTAATTGTACCCAATGCTGAATCTGCCCTCAACGAGGAAGCCGGAAAGTTGCTTCTTGAGCAGTATGATGACTATTTTAAGAGGGCCAGGATGATTACTGATATTCATGCTCAGGTAACTTTTTTTAATATACACTATCTAAAAAGAATCTAAAAGCATTGTTTGGCAGAACTCAAACCCTCTGAAGGATTCGTCAGAGTCTTCGGAAGGTCCACTTGCTAAGAAGCATGCTGCAGACAAAAAGCTCTCCGCTGACAAGAAGAAGCTCCTCAAAGACAAGAAAAGAACTCTGAAAAGACTATGACCAGCAAACAAGTTATTTGCCAATCTTCACCAACCTTTAGCTGTTTAAAGACTCATCAAAAGTAGTGAACTTCACCTCATTATCATATGAGTTCGATCTGTAATTTTTTTTATACTTTTCATGATCTTTGGTTTTGCCCTGATAAACCTGTGTTTTGGTTTGCGTGAAGAGATATATATTTTATCAAAGGATATCGTGATTGTAGTCCTCTTACCAGTAGATTCAAATTACCCGTGAATTTTTTTTTCAACTGCAGTAAAACAATGCAACAGCAGTGATGTGATTGACTGTTTATTTAGTGTTTAATGTACGACCATTAAGCCATGGAACAGACCGTTTTCAGGAAATGTCAATATAATGGGAAATCGAACGTGCATTATTAGGGTAATTTAAATTGATTGAGATTTATTATTTCCACAGATATCTGTTTATTTGTCAAGCACATTAATCAGCATTTATGTGACCATGTATGGACAATTTGATCAACGATCTTACGATTAGTCGCTTAAATTTCCCATCTGTGCGATTGTATTCATCATAGTTCGGCTTGAGCTGGTCATTGCCAATTGTACTTTATTCACTAACCCGACTTTGACCAATACAAAAGGTATTATAATTGAAATTAATTTTTTTTTCTAAATATGCAGTTTTGATGAACTTATGAGAAAGGAGCATTGCAAATTCTATGTCGGAACTTTTGAAACTCACGAATTAACCATCACGCGCATATTTATTTGAGAAATTGGTTGTTTGTATGAGTAAAAAAATAAAGCGTCAGTGTGAACAAAGTTTGGGTTTCTTAATTTTTTTTAGAATTAAAAGTTAAGTTGCTTTAGTGCCTTTATATAACTTTTTATTTCGTACAATTTTCTGAAATAGTCTGCAGCTTTTTAACACATAGCACGGCGTTAAAATGGTTTACATATGGAGATGAAAAAGCTGATACACAATGAATTTCCACTCGTACAATCCAACTCGCACTTAAAATTAGAAAAAAAGGAAGAGTGCCTCAAGCCTCTTGATTCATCACGCAAAAATTGCGTGTATTTCTATTCGCTAGTTTAAACTAAAATTAATGCAATCTTGTCACTGTTTCAAGATTTCTTTTGTCCATCAGAGGCAGACAGGCAGTCAAGATGAGTTGTGAGGTAATGGCCTTCTGAACTATGTTGCATTACTTGGCCTCATTCAGGTAGGCATCCAACTCTGCGTCGAGCTCTTCAGCAGACTTGGGCTTCTGCTTTCCTTCGCCGCGACCACCTCCGCGTCCGCCACCGCCACCTCGTCCTCCCCTTCTGCCAGCACCACCTTGGAAATAAAAGGTTTTAGTTTTTTTATTAACAAATCAATCTAAGAATTGACAATCATTTAGCTAACATTTAAATAGAGAAAACAAAAATTGAAGCTGCTGCAATTTGTTGAATAACATAATAATCAATTTAATGTATTACCTCCCCTAGCTCCACCACCTCCTCGCCTTGGTGCACCACCGCCTCCTCCTTGTCTGCGGCCAAAGTTTCCACCACCGCCGCCTCCAGCGGCAGGTCCTCCAATTCGCTTGGTTATTCTGACTGGGGAAGTGATCTCAGAGGTTGGCATTTGGATATTCATTGGTCGGCCTTAGCGAAAACAAAAATATTAGGATAACATGTTAAAGGTCAAAGTACGAGGTTTGTTTCTGTCTGAAAATGTTTCACAGAATAGATAACGTGTGGCCGTAGCTTCAAAAATGTTGATTAAAGCAGGATAAAAGCAATACCACTGAACATAACAACATTCCTAGGAAAAAAATGATTTTAGAGGATAAATATAATTATTGGTAGGCTATTTATAGTATATTATTTCTGACATGAGCGTTAGCCTATTTTTAATTATAATTAAATTAGGTTGTAAAGGTATAGTCACAACTTTTTTTAGGTTTTATTCTTAATACTTTTCTTAGAGCTTTAAATGAAGAAAAATATTATTCATTATTAAAAATTACAAAATAAAATTTACATCTATTTCATATTTCATTGTGAAAGAAGGTCTTTTTCAATTGAACTTTTAAAATTTCATTCCTGAAATTGATATTTAAAACATACCATCCAGTGGCACACCATTGTACTGCTTCATAGCTTTAATTGCGTCTGCCTTCCTCTCGAATATTACGTCAGCTGATCCAAGAGACCTTCCAGATCTGTCGTAGTGGACTGAAGCCGATCTCAGTTTTCCAAACTCGCCAAAGAGCTCCTAGAAATAAAATAAGGCAAACATTAGTATAATACAAGAAACAAAATTTCCACCGCTGTTCCCACTTTTTGCTTATTGATCACTTTCTTTGTTTCTCATTGAAACTTGCAACTTACTGAAATGTCTGAGTCGGACACGCCGAAGTCCAAATTGGAGACGAGCAGTTTTCCGGTACCTCCGCCGACGGCCAATCCTCCAGCGCCGGGGCGCATCAGGCCCTTTTTGCCTCCGTAAGTGTCGAACATATCGTGGGTCCATTGACTTTCGACGTCTCCCTGCGGTACGAAGAACATGGATGGGCATATTCAGCATGAAACGAGTGAGAGAGACAGACTGAGGGCGTGCGTGCACCTTTTGCAAGTTGCACACGGCATTGGGTCATTACGCAGCCTTGAGAAAGGCAAAAGTCCCATTTTTTTATGACAATTAAACATATGCTGGCGTGTCACCACCAAAATGCACTGCTTTTTGATAAAAACATGGCTGCATCGCGGCAGACAGCAAAATCAACACCAAGGCCGGCGTTGTGTGCATCAATCACTTCCGGTCCCCAACGAGGGGCCCGCGACTTTCTTTCTTTTTCTCTCAAACGACCCAGCATTTTACTCTCGAAAGTAAGGACTCGACTCTCACTCTAGGATAGGCAGATCTTTTGAACGCCGGGCCTCCAGCGCTTCCAACGCCTCCACGTCTTCTGTTTTTCTGGATTCCGCCGCCTCGAACTCCGCCGCCGCCACGGCGACCACCTCCGCCGCCTCTGCCCGCACCGCGGCCTCCGCGGCGTCCGCCGCCTCGGCCAGTCTTCGTCTGCTTGATTATGTCGTCCAAACTCAGCTCCATCTTTTCGGCCATGTTATCTTCTTGTCGGTGTCGAATTTGTCGCGAATTTCGTCGAATTCCGCAGCACACTCTTGGGGAAGCTCTTGTTCGAAGCACGATGCAAAAGATGGTTGACGACGACGCTACTGCGCACGCGTGCGCGTCGATTGACGCATTTTGGCGCTCATTCAGGGCCGTGCGAAAACTGCGAACTAATTTTTTTGAGCCATAACAGCGCCAAAACACGATTCTTTACAACGATTTTGTTAATAATAATAATATTATTATTAACAATTATAATATAATTATTATAATTGTACCTGGTCTTTTCTAATGGTTCTTTGGAAATAGCATTTTGTACTGAAACCAGATATCTTACCGGTTTGTATATAATAGAATGTTAAAAGAACAATATAAATACATAATATTATACCTATATGACAAATTTTGGCACTTGAATGTCATTAAACAAATTTCATCTCTGAATACAATTTCCTCTAATTCCTCTAAAAGAATTTGTATTTTTCTCATAATGAAAATAAATTTTGCAAAATACTAACAAATTGTTTTGCCTTCTCTTGCACAATATCACTGACTCTAAAGTCTAATTGAAAATGACGTCAAATATACTAACCAAGAAGATAAAAAAAATATCCTGTATAAAATAAAAATATGTACTCATTGCACCTCTCGCACCTTTTCATTTGAGAGCAGCATCAATATGTCAAAAATAAAGTGCCAGACTGGATAATGGGGCGCGAGCCAGGTGGGCCGATAAAAAAGCCACGAAGCAGCCTCGGGCTGCGACAAAAGCGCAAGGGCCGCGAAGAGGGCCGCGCGCTTCCAACGTGCGCCGCTTGTGACAGACCGTAAGACCGGCCCCGTAGCCCTCGGTTCTTGCAAAAGCGTTATTCAGGGGCCGTCAGCCCGCGAAAAAGAAAAAAATAGATTTTGCGCGAGCGAAGCGAGTGGTGATATTTGCCAGCATTAGGTCTTTGGACGATTCTGTGCGCACTTTCTAACATTATTTTGAGCTATATTTCTGGGGATCAAGGTATGAATTGTGAAATAACTTACAAAAGAGGGGGACGTCATGACTTTTTAGATAATTTTTCTGATTTTTATAAAAAAAACTTTTAATCTATATTAAATCCTCTCCTCTTATACATTTTTATTATCGGACTGGGTAATCGCCGTGATCGGGCGCACCGTCTTAAGCTGATAATTGCAGCCTTGCAAGGAAAAAGTTTTGTTATAATATTTGCCGCAGCTCACAGGCATAGATGCCAAAGCATGTTAGCGGCAAATTGAACTGCCATGAAAATAGAGCACCAAATGTTTTGAACCAAAAAAATTAAGACGACCATCTAAAAATCCTGAACTGACTATTCTGATCATTTCTGGATACTTTCTGCGATAGCTAATTTTTTACTCAAGTTTACTTGGCATTTGACACAAGTTGCAAATTGCTTAATTAAAAAATATGCTAAAAATTTCTACTGATAAAAAAAAATACACATGATACACGAAGAGCTCAATTTTAATTTAAGAGCTCGCAGTTTTCAAATTTAATTGTAATAAAATAAAGCACTACCCCTATAAAAATATCTTGTACACAAACTGGTATAAACTTGGCTGAAACAGGGTTTTGACGGCATAAACTAGGAAACAAACAAAAAAATTTGGCAGTTGACGGTCTTTGACAGAAATCCGGTCCTCAACCTGGTGTTTGTGTCCAAGTTTATTCCAAAGTTTAATTCCTGTTTATGTCCATCTGAGCGGTCGGGAGTCACATGCCTGTTTTTTTCCATTGTTTGTTGCCGAGTTTATGCCAAGGCCAGCGGTGCGGGGTTTTCTCCCTGTTTATTTCCCAGTTTATGTCCATCCGAGCGGTCGGAGTCACATGCCTGTTTATTTCCAATATTTGTTCCCAAGTTTACGCCAAGGCACAACCGGTGGAGGGTTTCTTCCCGGTTTATGCCCAAGTGTTTATTTCCAAGTTTCTTCTTCTCAAAAAAAATTCCATTCGTGTCCCAGTTTACTTCAAATATTTTAGTCAAAGTTTATTCTTATTTAAATTAAAATGATTAAAAGGGCAGTTAAAATTATGAGATGTCGTATTTTATATAAAAACTTGAAGTTAAAAAAAAAATTGGATGAATATGAAATAATAAAAATTAATAGACCATATTACCGACTAGATTAAATATTATTTTTTTTTTGGTTAATAATTTAAAACGATTAAAATAATATGAGAAGAATAAATAAAGTCAATAAAACAGTTATCATTATTGTTTTATAATTAAGTTTCAATTAATTTAACTTAATTTATCCATATCTGTGTTCTTGTAATAAGTTTACATTATTTTAAAGGCGGCATGTTAATTTTTTTTAGCAGATATTGATAAGTTTTTATTTTTTACAGACTTAGGTAATTTTTTTTGCTCACATATTTTGTTTTAGTAAGGTTGAAGCTTAAATATATTAAATAATATTAAAAATATAAAGAATATTAAATTTTTATATTGCCATAAAAATGCAGCTATAATTAAAAAAATTAAAATAAAATGAATTTTTGTAATATTATATATTCTAAATACATACAAGAATATATTAGTTCTATTAAATTTAAAAAATTAAAAAATTACCGTTCGTTACCTCTATTTTAATTTTTTTAGTATAAAATAAACTTCAATTCTAAATCTTAATTTTCCAAGCAGAATTAATAAAGACGAATGACATTAAAATTATTCTCATGCAAAAATATTTTGATTTGACATAGGACAAGTATTATTTTGCTGGCGTATTAATATTTTTTCTTCGAAGTCTTTAGGAAAAAATTTATATCTTATTTTAATGTCCTAAATTTCTGATTTTTTTTTCTTCAGATTTTGCTTCACGCGCACATAATTAAAAATTTTACTTTCTAGCAAATAATCCTACATTGAGGAAACATTTAAATTATATTCTATAATCTAAATTCTAAATTTTTAAATACGCAAAGCTTCTTTATTTAATACAAATTAGTTTAAAAAAATTAATATTATTTTTTATGAGCGCGTTTAAAATTTTGATACAAGAATGTTTAGTTATAGTTCATCTTTTTAATCGAGTTTTATTTTTATTGGAACATTGTCAAAAATTCAAATCTCATCTTTCGCGCCTTGAACTTCTTTCAAACGTAAACATTTCTCAGGCAAACCATGCGCAGTTGTATAAATTTGGTTCTGCGCACACTTCACCAACTATTCGGCTCGCGCCTCTCGCGCCGCGGCTCGACGACGGCTCACTTTTCAAACAAAATAACCGTCGTTGTTTTGATTTGGTGTGGATACCGGGTTTTGTGACTGATCGGAAAGTTTTGCCGTTTTTTCCGGAATAATGGTCAAGAAATGGTTAGAAAGTGAGGCCAAAGCGTCCTGGATTGGCAAACGTTCAAAGTACGGTGGAAATTCGGGTGAATTGACTTTTATAACGAGCTCGGGAGGAATTCGACTTGCAGCCCGCGTCCGGTTACTTCGTGAACGACCCAAGCCAAGCTGCTGCTTTCGACGCCCAGACAGGGACTGGGCCCTGGATTACAAATCAACCTCCACTCCAAATTAATTTCAAATCAGGTACTTATTTTGCCACTTTTAAGACCCCCCCCCCCCCGATAAATACATTTCAAATTTTCTTTTTCCCTATTAACCTGTTTTGTATAAAAATATTAAGGAACTTATTTTAATCATGCTATTTTTTAATTTTACAGATCCGAGTTCAGAGTCCTTCAACAACTCAATTACATCAAAGACGGACGGGAATATTGGATGATAAACTTGATTCACAAGAAGCCTAATGAGAGTACCGGATTGCTCTGATCGTTTTAAATTTTGAGGTGAGCAGTGAGCTTAATTCCAAAGTTAATTTAACTGACTGAACTGCGTGAACCTTTCTTTTAGAAATTAAAATTGAATACAATAACTTAAATCAATAATATATTATTTTTAGTGTTAAAAATTAAAAATGTTATTAAAAACCTTTTCTGACTAGCTATTTTTACAACAATTTTGTTAATAAAATTTGAATTTTTACTTTAATATCTCAATAACTTTTAATGCTCAATTAAAGCTTAATTTTAACTCGTTATATGATTTGTTAAGTAAAATTTTATAATGGGAAAATTTCTTTTGTTTACAGATTGGGGAAAAGAGCCATCGAAGAAAAAAATGTCACATTCCTCCGAGTGATGGTGAGAACCGTGGCCTTAATTTTTCAAAAGTATATTTTAAGGTTGAAATATATTTGATTAAATTATGCTTTTATTAACTTGTGATTTAAATATTTGGATAATTAAAAATTTGTCTAACTTCAATGTTGCAATTTTTAATAATATTAAATAATATCTCTACTGGTTTAAATTTAAATAAATTAATAAGGATGTTTGAAATATGGATTATATAATGTAGCGAAGTTGATTTTATGTTCAATACAAGGAATGCAACACTTGTTGCTTAATTATCTCAATTTAAAAATTATGTCGTACGTAATAATCATAATTTGCAACTGCTGTAATAAGGAACTGCTGAGGAAAAGATTAATATTTTACCTGTTAATTACTATTATGATTTTTAATATTTTACCTGTTATTTTCTATTATGATTTGTGATTGTACTTTATGTATTTATTGTATTTTATTTTATTTTTATGTTGTTATGAAATAAAGACCATTATTTTACTAATAAAAAAATGTGAGCTGATTTAAATTTATGCAACCCGCAAAGAGAATAAACTTGGCAATAAACTAAAATAAGGGGAGGTAAGCTTTGACACAAACTAGGGAATAAACAAGAAGATCACAAAGGGGAGGGTGGACATAAACTGGGGTACAAACCATGGCATAAACTAGGCAACAAACAGGGAATAAACTTGGCCACAAACGTCCTCGCCTAGAAGCTGGAATAAACATGGAAATAAACGAGTGCCAAATTCCTACCCTGTTTATGACAACAGTTTATTCCATGTTTTTTTCCCTGTTTCTGACAAGTTTTTGCCTCAAAAATGTTATGGGGGTAACCACTTATGTTTTAATGGTTTCTATAATTTAATCCGAAAACCTAATTAAAATAAATAAATGGTGATATATAGTGGAGTCTAAAAATCATGAAGATAATTAATTCTTAATTCATTATTACCTAAGGAATTTTTTTTGCGTACTTATAAAAATAACATTTGTGTTCAAAATAGCGTCAAATGCGCCATGAGCCACTAAAGGTTCCAATAGTGCTGGCGAAGCAGGCGCGCTCGGGGCTCAAAGTGGGCCGTCGCCGGCAAAGCCAGTGCGCAAAAATTGGGCCGTTTAGATGGCGTGGGCCGCGTATTTTAAAATCACCCAGTCAAAATTTTTCGGCACTAAGTAATTCGCCCATTTAAAATTGGGTCAATCATCATGGTGACAGAACAAGAACTGGGTGCAACGCAGACGGCAGAGTGCCGACGACAAGCGATGGAATTCCATTCAACGAGTGCGAGTCAAAATTTAATTAAATGTTCATATTGTTCATGCGGATAAAAGCAGAAACAAGTCCCTACAACTTCACCAATGTAAAAATAAAGCGTCGAAAAGTTTTTTATGGAGAAATTACACCCAAACTTGATTTGCAGATAAGATTTCAATATTCATGTTTGCGGCTTTTGGAATGACATATCAATTAAAGCAATTAAGTGAAATATTTTATAGAAATCCTTTTTGTATTTGAGTTTCAAAAACATATATTTTCGGCAAAGTGTACCTCTTGTGAAAAACTAAAAATTTTAAGCCTGGCAATTTTTTTATGCAAACTATGAGTGGTTTTCGTACATTAGACAAAAAGCTGAATTTCTTCACTAAGTCTACTTATTACGCTTTTTCTGGAGGAGAGGGTTGGCTTTGGACATGTTAGCCTTCAGCTGCTGAAGCTTGGATGGCTTCTTTCCTTGACGTTGACGAGTCTTTTTCTTCTCCTTTGGAAGCTCAACCTTAATACACATAGTTAAGTTTATTTAGCATCAACATAATCATTGTTAAATAATAAAAAAAAACTCACAACTGAAATATCATCATCAGATTCTAGAGCACTGCAGTCAGAGCCAAAAGGTTCCTTGCTCATGGTGGCAGAACCATCCTGCTTGTCCTCTTGGCAAACTTCAACAAAATCTTCCAATGAAATGGCCTGGTTTACAGTGGTGTAAGTGTCTGCCGTGTCTTCCTCCGGGTCACATGACACACCAAAGATATTCACAATCTGATTAGGCAGAAGATTGGCCCTTGTGAAAGTTTTGGTACAGGTTTTGTCCAATCTGGTAGAGTATTTAAAAGTGCCTAGAAGCAATGGTTTTCCCTGGGACACAGACAGTCTCGTCAGATTCTTCTTAATTCTCTTCACCAACGGGCCATCAGTGCGCCTTTTCTTCTTTTCCTGTGGCACCTGAGCTTCCACAGCCATGTTCTCCTCCAACCTCTCAGGTTCTCCTTCCTTCCAAGTGGCATTTTTGGCCTTGCGCACTTTTGGTTTTGCTGCTGCAACCACTTCACCTTGTTCTGAGATTTCATCATGGCCAGACTTGTCGGCAACAGGTTCCTCCAGTCCAACCTTATTGTGCTATATGAAAAATTGGAATGAAATATTTTATAAAAAATAAAAAACCTTCCATGTATACCTTATCTGCCATTTTCTCATTCTCTTCTTCAGTGGCAACAGCAAGTTGAGTTTTGTCTCCCTCTCCTGGCTCCTGAATTTCTTTGTCTGGTGGATGATCAAGGATCACAAACTCCTGGTTGATCTATACAAATTGGTACAAATGAGCAACAAAATATAGATATAAAAAAAATATGCAGTTATTACCATAGCATCAAAGGAGCAGAGTGCATTGCTTTCATTTGGCTGCAAATTTTGAGACGGAGTGCTAGAGATCTGGATGAAGGATATTGACTGAAACAAAAAACGGCGTTAAATATATATTTTCATAAATTACAATGAAATAAGGCTCTTAGCAAATTTTTTCAATAAAAGAAATGTTAGAATATGGTTAATTTCTGTATCCATTACCAACAAATTATATTTCAGTTACGTTAATCATTTATTTCAAATGTGAATTGTTTATTTTAAACCAAAAATTCCGGGCAGATTTATTTTAAATTGGAAAACGTAAAAAGCTATATAAGACGCAAAATTTTAAATTTAAAAAATTAAATCCTGAGATTAGTGTCTTTTGTGGATCCCATAATATTTCCTTTCATGGATCTATCTATAAAGCATCTATAAAAAAGTCGCGGTTGAAAAATTTCGAGCCATGCAAAATTAACTGAAGAATTTAGACGATGCACACGTGAAAACGTGCCACGTGTCTTTAAAATCGAGGACACACGAGCAAGGATAATCGCAAATAAAAATTGAAATCAATTAAAACAATCACACCTCTCTATCTTTTTGATGGCCACTCTGCTCTTGCACCTTGATTTTGCTGATCTCCATGCTGTCGTTCAGGTTTTTCAATCCGTTTGCGGCGGACATGTTGATTTCTCGCAGTCGGCCCTTTTGAGATCCAAAAGACTCCATAAAAGCCGCAGCCTCAACTCTCTCAGGACGCAGAATCGACGAAAATCTGAGAGTTCGTGTGGACCAAAGACAAAAAATTCCGCGCGATTGAGATTTCCAGGCGAAAATGCAAAATGCTCGGACGGCGTGTCAGCCTCGACCAAGGGTGCGAATTCAGCGTCCTGCGATTTGCGAAATGGCGACCTGGTGACGCGTGTCAGACGTAAAAGACGGGAAGCAGGAAGTGACGTCAGCAGCCAATCAGAGCAATTCGGCGAGAGGAGTGAATTAATTTGATTGGGGGATTTCTCCCGCGGGCACGAGTGTCTGGAAAGAGGTGGAGAGGGGACTCTGAAGAAATATTTCACCGCATCTCTGGCTAGTCAGGCTCACAGCATTTGGGAATGGAACGGTCGGCGACAAGCACCAAGGCCAAGGTCAACGCCAAGGTATTTTTATCTACTACTTGAGACAACTGCAACACTTTTAAAAAATAATTTGGCCAAATAAAATTCCTAGGAATACACGTAGCTAAATAAATATATCTTTACATTTTACATGACTATCGACGATCAGCAAAAATATTCATTAGCTTTTGACGATTTTTTAAAAGATGATAATAAGGACTTTTAACCGCTTTTAAACCACACTTTTGTGATGTATTCATGTATTTTGTGAACAAAACGCGCGTGGGCAATGCGTGAGATACGTTTTGTTTTCCATATTTCACATTCATTAATTAGTTAAAATATGCAAATATAGAAATTCACATTGAGTGCGGGCGAAAAATTTGAAAAAAAGTTATATGTGCGAGCGTAAGCGTAAAATATCTGGGCGCTTGGCAAAAGAAAAAGAAGATATTATTTTGATTATTTTTTTTAAATTATTATTTTCGTAATTTAAATAATAATATATGCTGTCCTCAGTTCCAAATTACTTTATTGTTATCAAAATAAAAGTATTTATTAAACATTCTTTTTTTAAATCTATTTAACGTTATATAGGTCTGGTCAAGATTTCACTCTTAGCACATTATATTGAGCTGAGAGAACAAAAATCGGAATTAAAACTGCCACGAACATGTACGATGACTTGACAAAACTGCCTAAAAGATTGTGCAAAAATGTTTTTTAATTTTAAAATCAGTTTTTTTTTATGTAACTGTGACACTTCAAATTAAGGACTCCTTATTGCAATGCTAAGAGTACCAAAGAGGTTTTTTTGATCTCCCATATGCTCAATGTAAAATTTTTGCCCCATGAACCCCCAATTTTTTTCTGCTTATCTGTTTAGGGTCATTCAATTATCATTTTGTGCAATTTTGAGCAAAAAATTTCGGGCAGATTTTTTTTAATCGCCAAAAACAAAAATCACCATAAAACGCCATGTTAAATTTCAAAAAATCATATTTCAAGATTAATCCGCGCGACCCCCCATTTTTCTTTGTGCAATCAACTCCACTAGTGGGCAGGTATTTATAAAAAAATCAGGGTCAAAAAATTTCGGGCCGATTTTCCGCAAACAGAAGTTGTAGATGTCAATAAGGAGGCCTTAACCGCATATCGCCAACAATGGCAATGTTGTGCATGTGAAAGGATAAACGGTTCAACAATCCACAATTCAAAAGAACTTCTCACTCTAAGAATTCTCATTCGAAATCCATTCAAAATATGAACATGAACGCGAATTTTGGAGGAGTTGGCCACCCAGCAGGACCGGGAGGACCGGCCTTGCCGATGATCAACATTTCCGGAAATACGGGCGCCCAGGCCTGCGCTGGAGGACACGGCCAAGCTGCTGGGCCTGGAGGACACGGCCAAGCTGGACCAGCCTTGCCAATGATCAACATGTCCGGAAATACGGGCGTCCAGGTCTGCGCTGGAGGACACGGCCAAGCAGCTGGGCCTGGAGGACACGGCCAAGCAGCAGGACAAGCCATCCCCATGAACAATCTTGCGGCAATATCGGGATCCAGGCCTACGTTGCAGGAGTCGGCCAAGCACCATGTTAGCTGCGAGGATTCTCGATGTCGGTGTCGCACTTTGACTATGAAAGTTACCCGTGTTTTCGTAGACGGGGTCAGGAAGAATTCGCGTGAGAGGAGTTGGCTTTCGGTAATTTCATCGAGTGAATCTGCTCACAATCTAACTATAGAAGCGCAAAACTTTGGAGCGCGTCAAGTTATTGACAAATTTTCCTAAAAAATTTTGCTAATTTGCCGTTTAATTTTTCAACGTCTCGTGGTCTTATTAATCATCGTGCTTTTGTTTATTCATTTATTTTGTTTGTGTGTTTTTGTTTGTTATGTATTACTTATGTTTTCATTTTATTTTTTTTTAGATACATTTTTTTCTGCGGTATGGAGCAGACGAACACCATCGATTTGCCCTGCTCACAGGGACCCGCCGAGGATTTCAACCCTGTGGTGGTTGAAGGTGGCTCTGCCGCCAAGATGAACGTAAAGGAGAACACATGAGCGGTGACGATCGACTCGACTGTCAAGTTTTTGGCACAGGTCGGCAACAAAGGTTAGTAGCAAATATATTTCTGATACACGCATCCTTTGATCTTTTTTTTTATTTTGGAAGTATAAAAAAGGTGTTATTTTAGAAGATCAATTTTATTTTTTTAAATCATGCTTACTTGAAAGAAAACTCCGGAAAAATGATTTCTTTTAAGCGAAAATCTGCAATTAATCGGTCTCACAGGTCGAGAGCTAGGTTGTTAAATTTTTTTTGTCTGTTTGTATGAAGCAGAGGACTTTCTAGAGAAGGCATGACATTTAACTTTGTGATAATATCTTTAGACCTATTAAGTAAATGTCAGAAATAATTTATCACAATCGGCTCATTTCACTAGTTCAGAGCATTTTTTGAACCAAAAGGTGCTCTTATTGTTAGACCGAATGCATTCAGTCATAACTCGGCTTGCTGATCGGTCAGCAAAATATGAATATTTTAATTTACGAAATTAACCATAAGTTAAAGAAGTTTTAATTCTTATTAATATACATAATATTTTTGTTTCAAAGGGCCAGAAGTTGGTGGATGTTCCAGTGCAGACTCGAGGACCGTTGTTCTTCAGGCGGAGAACCTCAGTGTGAACCTAATAGGGAAACAGCTGAAGAGGAAAAGAGCAACAAGATTAAAGCCGTACACAACTGGGTAACACCATGTACTCTGCATACTGCTTTGCCTCTTTGTTGGACCCTAACCTCACTACTGAAATGATTGATCAGCGCTGGTCCGAACTTTCTGCTCGAGAGAAATTCTATTTTTCATCCATCACGTTCAAACAGTAGTTCATCCAGGGAAAAGACTTTCAGTGTTGTTACCTAATAATAAAGACGTTTAAGGAGGCTACAGCAATTTCCTCATAAGAGCATTGTTAGGATATGGTTAATTTTTATATCCATGAACCCCCAAATTTTAATTTGTATGCAGTATTTGAAATGTAAAATTTTGAGTCAAACATTTTGGGCTGATTTTTTGTATTTATTTATTATTATTTTTTTTTTTTTTTAATTGGAAAACCATAAAAACGTGATGGTAAAATCAGAAAAGGAAAAAAATCAAATAATGGGATTAATCCCTTGGGACCCAATATTTTCTTTCGTGCAATCATTTCCTTGTGTGGGCTGTGCATCCATAAGAAAAATCTGTTGACAAATTTTGGTCCAAACTTAATCTATAAAGGAGACGTTAAATCACTTCAGCTTGCTCTGCTGTTTCGCTTCAATAGAAAATCGGCCCTTGTGATTTAGCAGTCCTGTCTGCCACTGCTGATGCCTTAATTCCCAAGAGGGATAGACAATACAATGAAATTTTCTTGTTCATATCCATATTAATTCATATTTTATTTCTTTTAATATCCACTAAAATCGTCCAACAAATGATCACGTAATTAGATTTAATTAAAATGAAATTCAAATCTGACATACCTGACTCATTGAATTTTGTTAATCTGGTTACATTTTTTATAGCTCTTCCCTTCCAAAAGTGTCACATCCAAATCAATAAAGTTCCCAAGACTTTTTCAAAAAGTCTATATTCAATAAATATCTACATATATATTACTCCTTCCTCACTATTAAATTATTATTTTTTTCCAGCTTTGATAATTGAAATTTTTATAGATACGTGTTCTGCTAAATTTTTAGACAAAAATATAACATTCTTACGATTTCTATAAATCTCTCCTTGAGACTAAAAGCTTTTGAATCCTGGGTGTAATTAATTCCAAATTTTGTTTAACTCATAATTACACCCACTCGTGTTGCTAGCTGGACGAGGATCCACTTTGTCGGTGGTCTTGAATTGCGTCGGAACCTTCCGTGATTGGCTCAAGCGGCCGAAGAGGGTCTGCAGGATGGTCGACGGGACTGAGATTGGAAGGTGGATTCTGCATTTGCAGGGGCAACGGAGACAAAGGTGGTTGCGAAGGGTAACTGCTGAGGATGACTTTGTGCTTGAGGGCCTCTTCGTACGGAGGAGGCGCCGTGCCGGGCGTTGGCAGGAGCAGATACGGAGGAACGGGCGCGTTTCGTCCCGGAAATTGCGAATTCGCAGAGGGGTCCAGAGATCCAATAACTTAAAAGAAAGAATTTTTAATTTAATTTTTTTTAGTCAAAAATATGTTTTTCAAATAAATTAATTTTAATAAATTTAAAATTAAAATATTAATGATAATTTTTTTTTATATCGTTTGTTTGTTCAAATTTTTAATCGAATGTAAACAATGTGTTGTAACAATTTGGATAAATAATCAACAATTAAAAATAATAAAAAAAGATTTTAATTTGTTGGTGTATATTTTTTTCAACTTTTTAAACAGTATTTAATTATTTATTTTTAATTTATACCTCTGTAAGACGCAACCCACGTGCCAGGTGCATTACTCATTGGGATGCATTGTGCATCAACGTCACCTCTGCCATTTTCAGTCGACCTCGGAGCCGAGTTTCCTCGGCGCCAAATTTTGCTGCTAAATTTATAAAATCCATTAAAATAAAATTGCGGAAAAACTTTCTTACATTCTTACCAGTTGCAAAATAATTTGATCAGCAGATACATCATTGCTCCAACGCCCAGGATAAATATGAGCGTTCCGATCAGGTCACTCATGGTTCCAATTTTATTAGGGCCTTCAAGGAACAAATTTATATAATTTTTTGAAAATGTCGATAATCCCAAATTTTTACCGTAATCGTCGTCCCCTAATTTATAGCACCGCTTTGAAACCAAATCCCACACATATCCCCTAGAAAGTAATTTTTTTTTCAAAATTGTATTAAAATTTTAAAATATTTTACCTTCTGCATCTGCAAGTTTTGTCCGCTCTGGCGCATACTAAATTATAATCAGCAAGGTTGCAGTCGCCGTCAGCCCGACATTTGTTGCCGTGGACTAAAATAAATAGCAAAAATTTAATAGCAAAATCAAAGTTGAACTGATTATTTTTAATTCTTACACGTCCCTGGCGCGCACGGAGAAAATAGGCCCGAGTCTTTTTCAGGATCGCAAACGCACCTGTTGTTGTGGCACACGTACCCTGGCCAAGGGTAGCAGTCTGAATTGACTCTGCAGGTGTACTCTCCTGAAATCCGACGAAAAATTTAAAATTAAAAGAGAATTTATTTGAATTCATTATGAAATTCAAATAATTTTGATGATTACCGAAAAACGGCATGCATAGGGAAATGGGGGGTTTTATTTTTAGAGACTGCGTAGGCGTACCAAGGGCGAACGAGTTTTGAATTTTTCAAAAACGATTAAGGATTTAAAAGTGATCAATTCAGCAGAATCAACTCGCTTAAAATATCAATGTCGATTTCAAGAACTGACCTGCGACGAGTTTGAACACGTGCGTCAGGTTGATGGTGGTCATTGCGGCAGAGAAACGCAGAAGGTCCTTGGGCGAGCACTTGCTGCTGTGCATTTGTATCTACCCGGTGTGATGTGAGGGTTGCCTACATCGCATATGGGGTGGATGGATGGGGTTAGTCGCCCAGGCAGGATCAATGAGGGTGAGTTTGCGCCCTTCCTCGCTCCGATCATCGCGGCCTGGCATTTAAATTTAAACGGGGGGTGGAATATTTACGGCGCTACCCCCGACCGCACAAAAGCAGCTTTTCAAAGCCAACGTTATACCCTGCCCGGCAATCAAAGACAAAGATTGGCGCAAAGCAGTGACACTGGCGCCGATTTCAATTATTGCTTCTAAATTTGCTCTTAAATTTAAAAAACATTATTGAAAAATTATAATTTTTCCAATAGTTTAAAAAATTTGGATTTTCGATGGTAATAAAACAACACAGTGGATTCTGTAGTAAATAAACGATGGCTTTGCTTTTATTATGTTAAAATTATCTCAAAATTTATCTTACAAAAGATTGCTTCGTGTAAAATGGCATGATGCATTTTTAATTTATTGTAATTGACAGCACGCTTCGATTTTATATTTTCTGAAGTGATGCGCAAGTTGAATCTGGATTAAAATTTGCAATTTACAATGAGCTGACTAATGCTGATTGGTGGTCAAGAAATATACACGAACCAAACGAAAGCTGCCAATATCATTCATAGCGTGTTAAGTATTTACATGCAAACAATTCATAAATATATTTTCCAAGTTCGCAAAGTTTTACAACTCTCAATTTTGATTCTAACCATGTTTTGATAAAAAAACAAATCAAGCAATCAATTTATAATATTTTCAAAGAGACGCAATTTACAAATACAATGATATTGTAAGAGAGAATACACGTTCTAACCAAAGCAAAGAGTTAATTGATTAATCGTTGAATTACAAATCTATCATCACAAAAGCTGAAATATTTTTATAATAATAATAATTACGTGTGAATGTGAAAGCCCTAACTGTATTTTCATGTAATTAATTCAATTCGTAAATAAGCTCTAGCCTAAACTCGCTCAAGTATGTATTTACAAAAATCAGGGCTCCGTAAGACACTGGTTAAGTTCTCCAAAAGGCACCTAATAACGAACAACGCAAACATACACAGACAGGTGAGCAAGCACCACTGGTGTTTTTTTTCCTCTCTTTCAAAACTTCACTGTTTCATTTCGCAGTGTGGCGTTAACGACGAGCACTGCCAACTGCGTTTAAAAACGAACAAACAACTTTTAAGCTGCGGATTATTAATTAAACTGTATATAGTGAGCATAACAGGGATGGTCAATCTACAACTTTGTCCCAGCAAAAATGTTCAGTCAAACGGCTTGTAAAATTTAGCTAAAAATTCTTCAACAATCCCAGAATTGCAGCTAAATTCATGTTAGGTACGCCGGGATTTTCAACCAAACATTATTTCACCCTCAAAAGGTACTTTGGCACAACAAAGGTTGCACCTCTACTCGCATTCGAATAACTAACATTGAGCACAGTTTCCTAAGACCACACGTTCCTTTTTTTTTAAAATTATGTGACCGTTTTCAGTTGCTTTGAAAAGAAAGGTTGGAAAAATTACAAGGGATAGTCGGAGAAGAGTAGAGAGCTCATATGTAGGGACGGCTTTTCCAGTGGTCATCACAAATTGTGTAGGCACTCTAGCAATCGCACTTGGGATTATCCTAAAGCTGTCTCGCGTTTAACTTAGGTATATGTAAGTGACTTTGTTTCTATCCTGTCGGGTATCAGCACCAGTCTGCCATGTAGGTAAAATCACGGAAGCAGGTCTGCTCCTCTTCGGTGAGAGGCCTCGGCTCCTTCGGTGGCGTCAGTTGGGGCTTTTCTTGAGTGAATTCTTCGTCAAAGTTGCTCACGTCCTCAGGAGAATGCTGTGTAAAAAAAGGGAGAATTGTTATTAATTATTTTCCAACAATTAAAAGAAGGAATGAAGAAAAAATAAGTTTCGAGTTTCACTACGTCCGGAAATCTACAAAACGAGCCTTTTTTTACAAATGAAGTAAGATTAAATTACTATGAAAATGAGGAAAGATTTTAACTGATTAAAAACTGAGTGATTCTATTTGAACTTACCACAAGTGGAACAAATGGTGGTTTGACTCGTCTATGAAGCAGCTCTTCCCACTGAATTGTTCTAAAGAACGCTTGCTTCTTCACGTCTTCAGCGTCTCTCTCGCTGGACCCCAAACGCCTGTCCGGATTCTTCCTCAAGAGCTGCGAAATTAAAAAATTTAATTCACCCCGACACGAATATTTTCAAACAAACTCACTCTTCTCATAATGGCAATGGCTTCTAGGGTCAAGAACCTCGGGTACCGGACTTCGTCGTTAACTATGCTGTCGAAAACCTCTTCCTCGTCATCACCAGGGAAGGGCGACTGAAATTTTCAATTGAGTCGTGTTTTCAACGTGGAAAAAGTTTGCTTACTTCTCCGACAAGCATCTCAAAAATCAAAACGCCAAGACCCCACCAGTCGACGGCCCTCGTGTAGGAAGTTTCCGTCAGGACTTCGGGGGCAAGGAACTCAGGAGTTCCGCAGAAAGTTCCGGTTCTGTCTCCGAAGCCCATGCCTTCTTTGCACAAGCCGAAATCTGCGATTTTTACGTAGCCTTCGGTGTCTAGGAGCAAGTTGTCCAATTTGAGATCTCTGTGTTATTGAAAGAAAAGAGATTAATTAACGAGTTTGATGAAGACAGTTGCTAAGTTTTACCTGTAAATGATTCTACTTTGGTGAAGGTATTGAAGGCCGAGCACAACGCAGGCTGCATAAAACACAGCCCTTGTCTCGGAAAAGACGTCCGCGTGAATGTGCATCATCAAATCGCCACCAGCTGCGTACTCCATAACAAAGCACACGTGATTCTGCAACAATTCAAAGGTAAATTAATGCGCCGATTGCAGGTGACATTTAATACCTCCGTTTGGAAGCAAGAAAACAGGTTGACGAGGAACGGGTGCCGCTGGGCGTTGGCCACCTCGAAGATGCGTTTTTCAGCAAGCAGAGACTCGACCTCGTCTCGGGCAATGATGTCGCCCTTCTTGAGCGCCTTGATTGCAAAGTACTCGCCCGTGCTGCGGTATTGGGAGAGGATCACCTGAAATTCAGAACAGAAAGTTAATCTACAAATTTACAATAATAGAATTCTAAATTAAATTAAATTCTGTAAATACATACTTTTTAATTTTGAATTTTTTTAATGATTGAATCATAACATAAATTAATTTATAAGTTTGTACTTCATGAAATTATGGAAAAAAAAAATTAATCAACAAAAATATTAATTATTAATATAAATTTACAAAAAGATTTCAAAATTCAGAAACAGAATCCCATTATTCCCAGTAAATACTAAAAAGTTTTAATTAAAGAATTTAGAAATTATTTAATTCTTAATAAAAACTTCCCAAAATAGGTAGAAAATATTAAAGAGAAATGAAATTTTGATTATGAAGTTAAATATTCCATTTTTTTTAATTATTTAACAAAAAAGCTCGAAATATGAGAAACAAAAAATGTTGTATTGTCACCTTTCCAAAGTGTCCCCTTCCCAGGACGCTGATGAGTCTGAAGTGATCGAGTGACATGCCAGTGAACTGCGAGTGCCTGCGAGACTCGTAGGCGCTGTCCCTGTACTCGAGACCTCTGGCAACGGGCCGCCTCACCACCTGCGGAGGCTGCAAAGCCACAAAACCGCGATCAGCACATCAAAGTTCATAATCTCTCGCAGCAGCGTTTAAAAGAGTTAATCAACACAATAATTTCGTTTCATGCGCTGAAAGCAATCACACTTCGTTAGTAACGCATCGGCACATATAATAAACACGCCTGACATGTGGCCAAGAAACCCTGCAATGGACGTAGAATGGACGAGATTAATCAAAACAATTTCACACATGCAAGTTGGATCAGAAAAATCAGCAAAAAGAAAAATCCAAACATATTTTAAGCACAGAAAAAAAGCAGAGACGCATTTAAACTTAAATAAGAAATTTAAAATATTAAAAAAATTAAATAAATTAGTTGAATAAATTTAAATGCGTCCTCTTGGCAAAAAGCAATGGGTGGGTCCGAATGTAAGAGAATTGATTCTCGCAGCGATTCTCATGAAACGATTCTCGAGAAGTGATTCTCGCGCAAGGATTCTCAAGGAACGATTCTGTGGTGGTTTTTCAATGGCAGAAACGTTCCTTGAGAATCTTTGAGGGAGAATCACTTCTCGAGAATCGCTGCGAGAATCGATCCTCTCATCTTCGGACCCAGCCAGTGTCTGTTAAGAAAGCAAAAGCATGTTTTTTTTCCAGAATGCGGCAGGTTTGAGGTTAGTGAAGCTGGAGGGTCTGCAAAGGGGCGAGGGGTCGCGGGGGCGGCTACCTCGAGCTCGTCAGGGAACTCTACTATGGGCTGCGGCGACTGTTGGCGAGGTCTCGGCTCTGGTTGCGGCGCAGGCTGAGGGTTTCTATTTTGCCGGGGGGCGGGCTGGGGGGCCTGGATCACCTGGACCTCGGCCTTGAGCGGCTCGTCTTGCAGGAAGTCAAACTCCCTGAGTGCGCTCTGCAAAACACCACCATTTCTTTCTAGCTACGCCGAATATATTTGTATTTTGCTCAACTTTCCCATCGTTCTAATCTCTACCAAAAGGTAAGTGGAAATCGCAAATATTTAAGAAAAAAAAATCATTATAATTTATAACGGAAAATTGAAAGAAAATTTTAGCAACGGTAAAAATTTGCTTTGATCGTTGTGATTTTTCTCATCTAAAATTTAACCATTTTTTATTTCATATTTCAGACAAATTTCAATTTCCAATTATCTTCCTAACATCTGAAATCATATCTTCGGACTAGTTCAAATAAATTCTTGTCACTTTCACAAAAGTACTGTGTGTCAACCTTCATGATCGTATCTTCGCCGCAGCTGTTTGTTTTCGTTTTGACGAGGAGGCGCGCCGAAATTCACGCATCTCGCCAATAAACGCGAGAAAAAAAGCGGCGACAATAAAACGGGGCGCGGTGTCGGCTCTGTGGGAGCCCTCGGCCTTGGACACTTGTTTCTCCTCGGCCGGGCTCAAATTATTTGCCCGCGACTGCATTCCAGCTTTCGTAATTATCACCATTACGAACGTCTCGTTAATATTTTCGATGAGAAACGGCCGACGCAAGAAATAAAACAGAGGAGTTATCGGATTTCAATCGCTGGCGTACCGGTCTGATCGGTGCGTGCGATGCTGTAATTTGCTTACAGAGGCGGTGTTCGGTTTCGTTTGTTATTCAAAATCATATTTCCCCGTCTGATCGGAGTGAAATTTCATCTCGTGAAGTCAACTGTCTTTCAACTACGCCATTGATTGCGTTTTGTTTCTCATCAATTGCTCACCAGTTGTGAACATTGAATTGAATAAAAATCAATTGTAATTTTAAAAAACAAATAATCCTTCAATGAATGAAAAAAAAAGAGTGAAAAATCCAAAATAGTTTGTATCATAATTAACTAGAGCAATTAAATAATTTCAAAAAATGGTAAAAATTAATTTTTAATAATGAAAAAAGATATCATTTTTTTTTTTAAATTTTATTCCAAATTTTTTTGTACTGTTTAAGATTTCTTTCCTTTAAATTTTAGTTCCATTTTTATTTCGCTGTAGTAAAAATCTGAATTGAATTGAGAGTAAACAAGAATTTTGAAGTTTAAGACGATTTTTAGGAAATTCCAACAAGTTTCTTTGACTCGTACTCGTTTTTCCACTCAAAGTACAGCTAGGTGCACTCATTGTCAGTTGACAAATTAATTTGCATTCTGGTCTCACACTGTTGATCTTGCAGCACTCGAGAAGATACGCATGCTTGAAAAGCAGGAATGGTTGTGTTCAACGAGTGTCACGATCGATTCTCGAACCAGATCATTTAACGACAATTAATCATGTGCGCGGCTTTTCACTTGAAACACGGACGTAAAAGGTAAAAACAGAAGAAAGTTTGTCGACTGGATAAGGCAATTAGAACTCGTGATTCGGAATATTTTAAGTCGGAAGAATTTGAAAACGTGACAAAAGGGACAATTCATACTAGGTCGTAAAATAACAATCGAGTTTACTTTCTGCATTCAACAAAGAGAAATCATCACAATGGACACTTCAATTGAACACTTTGCAAAACTTCTGATAAATAAAATCTTATTTGCAGCCAAAAGGTTTTTATCAAATTAGGTTCTGATGTTTTCCTGAATTTGACCAAAGAGCTAAAAACTCAATAATTTGTTTCAAGGTTTGAATTTACTTCAATATTTTAGCACTTGATATTTTTTTTTTCAAAATTAAGATGTTATTTACGTTATTTTATGTTGATTGAAGTTCAAAATTATGAAAATACAAAAAACCAAGTTAACCGAGACTCACTGCGGTGTCGTCCAGCAATTTTTTCTTTCAATTAATGATGGAAAAATTTGGCCAATTTTCTAATGAAACATATTCATTTGTAATATCAACAACTATAATTTTTTTAATGAATTTGCTTTGAAAAATAAGATTTCGTGATTTACATTTTATGTTGATTAAAATTTAAACTAATAACAATAAAAAAATTGAAGCAAAAAAACACAGCATCAAATTATTTTAATGGATATTTTTTAAATAGTCTTAATTTATTTTTAAATTTTAAGCCAATTTCATAGTTTAATTTAATCAATTTTTTTCGATAATTTTATATGAGAGCGAGATGAAGATCAAGCACCAAAGTGTGCAAAAATATTCGCAATCTAATCCTTAAACATGCCATATCGGGACGCAAAGCGGGTTGAGAAATAGACCGGCAACTACTTGAAATTAAATTGCGAGCGGCATGCCCAAATTCGCGACGACATCCTTCCATTGCGCTCGCTCGTTACACTTACATCACCAGAGTGAGGTCTGCTAATGACCGTCTAATTAGCGGCCGCGCAAGGCCCCGCAAAATCGGCTCCTTATTTAGGCATGCAGCGACGCTATCAAAGAAATCTCTGCCTGACCCCACCGAGGGTCGTTCTGCACTCGGGCGGTTTTCATTCCAATTGGGTCACTTTGAGTCCCATCGGCTCAATAAAACTGGCGAGATCATTGACGGCGCCGACAAATTGATATTCGGGCGCTGCCGGAGAAAGGCAATGGAAAGGGACAAAAAAAAACTCGACTGACCCACAGCGAGCGAGGCGATAAAAATCCGCTGCATTGCTTGGGTGGCGATAAAGAGGTGTAATAAGAGCACGCCCGCGCCTGCCGAAAGCGCAAACAACCCTTTCACAAAAATCATTTCCTCACTACGGGCTCACGCAAAATTGGATCAAATATTTCAATTCAATTCATTTGAATGCAACGTTTGAAAATATTATTTTCAATGAAAAATTCTATACATTATATATAATTTTTTCCAATTAAATTGAATTCTGAAATAGTCGTGGATGCAAGTATTTAATAAAAAATTGTAACATTTGGAATCTAATTAAATTGATATTGTTTAAATAGAATTTCTATTATAATTCAATAGATCCAATTATGACAGAAATTATATTCCTACAATATAAATTAAATTAAATGTTATAATTTTTACTACAAAATTGCAACTTTTTCAACAATACGTATGTAAAAAAGTGATGTAACAATTATTATTATATATTATTTATTCTTCTCGGTCAATACAAAAATTTTAAATTGGAAAAAAGAGAAGAAAGGGTTTACAACTAGCAGATGTCTGCTAAAACGCCCGACATCAAAAGACAGCCGCCGCGGTAAAATTTGGACAAATAAACAACAATAATAATAATAACTTTGACTTTTATAAAATTAAGAAATTCACTTTCTTAAAAAAAAAACTTTATATGTTTTTATGTTTGTTTCAAAACTTTAAGCAGATCCAATCTAAGATTCTGAAAGTGCAATAAATTCTACCAGTTATAATATGTATTGCATCATTTGAGAGTTTCTGAGTCCCAATTAATTTTTATTGTCCTCCAGCTAGAGTTTTTTTTTGTTCAGGTAGCTCGATTGACAAATTCAAGGTCCCGGGGCCGCGATAAAGATTTCAATTACGCGGCCCAGGGCTGTTTTATTCAAACATGTGTCACTCATCGTATCCAGGTCGAAAGGAAGAATAAAAACCAAATGATCGATGTGTCACTTTCAAAAATGAAATAATTACACTCCGCACTTTGTAACTGAAACGCAATTCTTGTTGCAGATTAACCGTTTGAGCAGAACCACACCGAGGCCGGTTTTAAACGTTTTTTCAATTCAAGTGCCGCCCGATATGTACTCGGCGCGAGATATGCAGTGGGTGTCGAGAGTGGTGGGCAAGAAAGAGTTGTTGTGAGAGCAGATGGAGGCTTTTCTCAAAATTCGGTACGATACAATCTCGACGAGTGAAGAGGAAAAAGAAAAAAGATCTGTGTGAGTCTAATAAATTAATAAAATTGAAGCGAGAGAGGAAAAAAAGCAAACAAAGTTGCTAATGAAGACTGTAAATAAAGTAAAAGCAAAAGGAACAAATCCGGCTGTTCTTGAAAAAATTGTCAAATTTGAATAATCGAGGCTCACTGCGGCGGATGAAGTCTTTTTGATCTCGGAAGTTTTGGCAAAATTCTTGCCAGTGGTGTTGCCGTTTTGTCCAACAATTCCTTTTCTTTTCTATTAAATTGTTTTCAAAAATTGAGTGTAAACAATGCGATGTAACAATTTGGACAAATAAACAATTATAAAATAAAAATTAGAGACAGGATATCAAAGTTTACAATCGCCCAATAAACAAATGTTAGAATTGAACAGATTTTTAAGTTTTAAAAAAAATGTGAGGATTTATTACAACAATCCGCCCGAATATTGAAAAGACTTATTTTAAAGTTATGAGCGTCTCCAGACCATTGAAATATATGAATGGTTCAATTAGAAAAAAAAATCAATTTATGGTGTATTTTTTAAATAATAATGCAAGCGAGTAATAAATCAGCGCAATTCTCGCGTGCGGTATGCAAATTTCTGTTGCTTTCTCTCCTTCACATTCCCACGATTTGGCATTTTGCAAAAATAGGATTATAAAAAAGGCGCTCCTCAAATTACGGCCTGTCCGAATTAATGAGACGCACTTTAAATTAAACGGGCGCTGTCTCTTTTAATTGTTCGCGTTCAGTCACGTAGGCATCGCGGCACGCGTACTTAAAAATAATAAATGATTAAATTTCTGCTGTGTTTACGCGACGGAGGTATGCGAAAATTGCGACATGAGACTGTCTCTGTGAGGTTCCGAAAGGTCGCATCACGCAAACAAGAAGATTCTCCATTGAAAATTCGCTCGGTCTGATTAATGGCAAACAAGGCTAATTGTAACAACTATTAATTAAAAATTTTCTCTCGCACTCAACCACCGCTGTGCGGTCGCGATAATTCATCCGCCGTCAATCAATCAATCAATTTCTACCAAGAGACGGACACAACGGTAAATCGGGTAAGTGAAAATTAAGTAAAAACTATAACTTCTGCAAAAATTAAAATAAACAATCAAAATAAAACAAATTCTGCAAAATTTGAAATTCAAAGAAAGCAGGAAATAATTTGAAATGATTAAAGAAAATACTTATTTTTTTTTTTTCACTTTTGATTCACTTTTTTCCCAAGTCCTACGCGGAAGAAGTCAAATCAGATCTCATTTTTATGATCGTAAGATTAGACCATTTCGGATTCATTGATCAAGTTATCTGATACGCTGTAGTTTTTCTTTTAATTAAATAATAATGTAATCAACTTGCGCAAGACCTTCCACAACCAATTTTTGAACCTACATTACTTATTGTGCTGCACCGGCCACTTATCGCTCTTTTTTTTATCAGCAAGTGTGTCAACAATTCACTTTCTCCGTTTTGTACACCTGCGTGAAATACATATTCTTAAAATCAAGTTTGCGGCGCCTCAGGCCGAATCATAGAAATATATCTGGCGGCTCTTTGAGGCTCGCATTTTTCAGCGTCATTATAATTGCATTAGACAAGCAACACCATATTAGGCGCGAAATTTACAAATCGCTTCCGGGACCGACTCGATAAATCAAAGGTGAAAAAAAGAATGCGGATTTTTCGGCGAGAGATAATTACAAAGGCTGAAGTGAATTTCTCTATCCTTGATTTGCATAACTTTGAGCTTAGGTGCCAATTGGAATGCAATCGCCGAGCGAGGCGAGCGAGGAAAAGTAGCCACTTGTTGGAAAACAAACAACCGATAAAGTAATTTATAATTTATGCAGCTCGTGATCAGCAGTGCAAGAGCGGCAATTTTGCAACACAAGGGAACGTTAAGAATATTAATTAAAAGATAAACAAAATACACTTCAGTTATGTAGTGTTAATTTTTGGTTGAATCGTTAAATAATTTAGTGACATTAAAATTGAAGTTATTTTTAAATTAAAAAAACGCACCACGTATCGATTGTTGGCGTTCTCGGCGCAAACGAGATTGTTGTTGAGGGTGACGCAGGTGACGTGTTTCCGTTTGTTTTTGGCTACCCTGGCCGAGCGTCGCCGTCGGGACATGAGGCTGGCCAGTCGCTCGGACGGCTCCTCCTCCATCAGCTGCTGCTCCCTCATGACCGCAGCCACAAGTGACCCGAGCAGCCTCCGCACTCGCGACCAAATCCCGCGGACATAACGAGCGTGTTCGCCGTGCCGACACCGAAGGCACACTGAGCAGGGCAAAGTAAACAGCGCGGCGCCTCCAGAAGGGCCGTGACAAGAAGAAGCGGCCCCACTCCCTCTCTCGGATCTCTTTATTCTCGGATCGTGATCAACGAACGACTGCTCACAACCATTGTTTTGCTTTCTATTTTATTACATTAATTGTACATTTTTATTGTGGTTGGTTGAATAAATCTTAAATTAAATTTCAAGAATATAAAAATTTAAAAATTACATCAATCAAAATGTTACGTTTGTTTATGTTTATTTTAAATTTGTTCCACGCAGGTAAAAATGTAGCCATGAAATATGCAATTTTTTAAGACTATTTTTACTTAATTCCATATTTTTATAATTTTTTTATTTTTAAGAATAATATGTTTGTTCTTCCATATTTTCAATAAATTTATATTGCTCCGTTTTAAATTATTTCTAGCAAATGATCACAGAAATACGTAAATTGAATTACCATTGAAACTTGCTTGGAATTTTTTCTGACTCTTATCTGATTTCAAAGTTCATCCAAAAATTATTTTCGTTAAATCTAGATATTATAGTAGCCAAGAAATGTGTATAAGAAGGCGACGTGTGGAGGAGCGTTTTTCTCGCGATGCGCCGAGCTGTCTCTTTTATTTTTAATGGACTTTGATAGTAGCTTGTATCCAATTGAAAATTTCAAAACAATACAATTTAAACCAATCTAGAAAATTATTTCAATGAAACAACTGAAAGACGAAAATAGAGAAATTTCGTTTCGTATTCTTTATTAACAGTGTAATTTAGTTCATTTGATTGTGTAATTATAATGAAATTGAGCATTGAAGCTTCTATTTTTTTTTAGGTTTTTGGTTTTATTTTTGAAATATGAAATTAAATTTAATGATCAAAAAATTACTGAATTGTCAGTATTATTATATTATTTGCAATATTCCACAAAATTTTTAGCATAGTTGGAAATATTGATGGCTTAATATCAATCTTTTATTTAATTGTTCAATACTTGTTGTTCCACACTTGGAACAATTATCCTTAGAATTTCTAAATGTTTTATGATGCGCCGGAGAACAAACTTTCAAAATTTAATAGACTGTAAAATAATATCTTTGGTTCCTCCGACAAATTTGTTGAAATTTAAACGGCCTTCTTTAATAACGGATTGGGATTGCGATTTTATGAATGACAATTTGAGGTCATTTGCATTGGGCCAGAATTTGAATTGCTCATTGGACGGAGGAGAATTTTATTTAAATCCCGCTCTTGAACCAGATTCTTTGTCTTATCACGACATGAAAGAAAATTCAGCTTCGAGTGAGCCACGAATTTGAATAAAACGCTTTAATCTTCCTGCTCTGCGCCCCGGGGAATCTCCTTTCGCGAATCGAGGGTGGTCCGCGAGCTCAAGGCTGCGGCGGAGAAATTTGCAAAGCTAATGCCGCGTCGGTCTGAAAAGGTTGGACTTTTATGTCGTTCGGCATCAATTGTGACACACATGGCACCTACGTGGAGTGAATTTCACAAATTCTGCGTCGATGGAAACGAATAATATGGGCCCTGAATAAATTACCGATGCTCCCCGGGAAGGATGAAAATGCGGCCTTGGGAATTGATGTCGTTTCCGCCTACGCATCGACAATTGTGGCGAGCGCGCCGATTATGTCATTTATATTTGTTTGGTCACTTGGGCTGCCTTTGTTACGTATCATTTTGCCATCAGATATTATAAACAAAAAATTGAATAATAAAAACAACGTCACGGCGGAAGGCGGCTCTCGTTTTCTGACGGCCTCGCCTCACACGCGCGAGTGCAAATATTTGGCGGGATGAGTCACAATAATTCATGTAGCGCCGCGTCATGGAAACAATTTATGTATTCACACCTCTGGCACTGCTTTTATGGAGCTAATTGACGTTTAGCACAAACAAATGAGGAATTCCGCGTCAGTTGAACTCTGACTTCGGAACACCTGTTCAATAATTTTTTATTACTTTTCGCTCTTACGAAAATTGTTAGAAATATTATGGTGCTCGTAAAGGCTTGAAAAGGATTTCGCCAATTTATGGAGCTGCTGGAAATGAAGAAACTATCTCCGTCCCACACACTTAAATAAATTTTTAATGTTAATCAGAGCGATTTATAATGAGAGTAGTTCCTGCTTGTCGCAATTCCAGCAAGCAACCTTCCTCCAAATCCGCCAATCAATCAAACTCTAAAAAAATGTGGTGCGAAAATTTAGGCGAGTGGGCTGAAAATTTGTTCAAAGGTCAGGGAGGAGGTGAGTCGAGTTAAATAATAATAATTTGCTGCTAATCGCGTGTTTGTTAAGGTTAACCGCTGCAGCTCAGCAGTTCAGTGAAACGAAAAACGGCGTGGGCGACAGTGGGTTGCGTCGAGAGTACGATGGCCGAGTGGTAGGAATTGTTGTTATTGAGCGAGGCGAGATTTCCTCTCCATACGGTGCAACCCGCCTACGGCTGCACTCGGTAAGTAGGAATAAAATGACCTGCACTCGCACTTGAACAGGTGAAGGAAAAGCGCCGACAAAAAGTGGAGTCGAGGGAAGCGAACGAACGTGTTTCTTTTGTTTCAAATCGACGCCCAATCATGGGCGACGTAATTGCAAAATAATATAGCAGCACATTATAATAACAAAGAGCTTTTGTGGCGCAGAAGAAGGACAAAAAACACAATCAACTTGCAGTTACACTAGCATTCGATAGGTCACGTTCACGCGAGTTTGATTTGAACAAAGCTTAAGATATTTGAAAATAAAAATAAAGCTTAAAATAATACGAATGCGGCCCCACAGTTGTTAAAACGTAAAACCCCATCGAATTTCGATTGGAAAACAGCTGAGCGAAACAAAAATGAAGATTGACACGTGATTAGAAGAATAATAGAAATCGCAATTTCGGAAAGATTATTTACACAATTTACAAAAAAAGCCCTTTCTTAGCGAGAATGGAAACAAAACTTACCTCGACGTCGAGCCTGGGAGGAGGTGGTGGTGGCACGGTTGGCGCTGGCACCCACTTGCTCTTTGGCACCAGTGGGGGTGGCGGACTCTCCGGCTGCGGCAGGGATGGCATGATGGATATGCTGGCCAGGCTTTCGGCCAGTCCCAGAGGTCTTGCGCCCGTCAGTCCAGAGGAGGTCGGATTCGGAAGTTCCCCTGGCGCTTCAGCCTTGTCGTCTTCTGGCTGAGGTAGATTCAAAACTAGAGGACCCGGCCGTTCTCCATCTGAAAAAGGGATGTGAAAAATTAAGATCTTTTAAATAAATCATTGCTTCTATTCTTGCTGCATATCAGAGCACTTAAGGCGGTGACATGTGTTTATTTTTTGAACATCTGGCTGGGTGGTAATAGCAGCAGTAGGCAGATGAAAGAAAGGAACCAGAATGCAAGCTCAACGCCGATAATAATTGAAAGTTTTTGAGTGGTGCGAGATTTACGACTCCGTCTCTTTGTGCATCAGATTTGCATATTTTCAAGAGTCCCGCCCACTACTGGGACGTCTAAAAAGCTGAGGAAAACTCACATGGATGCAATTCATCATCCTGCTGAGGCGGTGGTTGCGGCATGGCAGGTGACGAAGACCTTTTCAGCAGACGTCCCCATGTGGCCACGTTTATGTTCATCTGCGTGGGTCGCGACAGATTCTTGCCCTGCGCTTTGAAGATCTTCTTCTGGCGCTGCAGACGCGGCTTTCTCGAAATCATGGGGTTCAAGAACTTGATCTGCCGGACGGAGGAATAAGAATTAGAACAAGTTGGGTGATGATAACGCATGCTGAGGCGTGGGCCGAATGCAAAAAGTTGGCAAAGAGCTCGCAATTTTGAATTCTATTATCACAGGGCGTTGCTCCTTGCATACAAAAAGTAGTGATAACATAAAATATAACACACACCTCTGCAAATAGTAAGCCTTGCGGCTCCAATTGGAGAGCCATCCCATGCCGCTCGTCGTCAATGAACTCCTCGAGGCGCAGGATTTTGATAGCACAAAGCGACCGCCAGTCCCTCCAGAATATGCTGATTTCCAGCTCTCTCGACTTATCTAGTTCTATGCTGAATCTGTCAAAACAAATTAAAAGTTGATTAAAAAATATTAAAATTAAAGGAAACTAAATTTAGTAATTCATACAGCCGTTGAATTATTTCTTGTAAAAATTTAGTTCTGGTAAAGCAAAATAAAATTTTTAAAATTATTTTATTAAAAAAATTATTCATAATATTTATCAAAACAATTATTTTTGACTGCTTTTTAATATTATTTAACACCTGTTTAAATCTTTGACAAAAATAACAAAAAGTTTTGCAGCTAGTTAATTAGTGGAAACAAAGCAACAGGTTGTTTGTAGTAAATTATGTCTTAATTTCTAGTGAAGGAAATAAATAAAAAAAAGCCCACCTCTGATCCCACGCCTGCTGCGAACAGGGTTTCCAACTGGTCTGAGCAACTGTTTGGTGGTCCAGCTTGAGTATGGCCATGATCTCGTTACTTGTTTCGTCCTTGACGCTGTACGACTTGCTCGAACTGCGGCCCGTGACCCCCTTGACGAAGGACCAAGGGTCGCTGGGGCTGGACAGCGAGTCCTTGTCCCGCCTCGAGCGTCCAGGGACCTCCTCCAACAGGTCCTGGCAGCCCATCAGACGCACCTCGAGCTTGCCGGTGACGGCTGCACATCGGCTCACTTGGGTCGTGGTCATGGCGCGGGCTGGCTGAGCCCCTTGGAAGGGAGGTATGTAGGTGTAGGTCACTGGCACGGGGCTGGACGCCTGGACGCTCTGCAGCTCCCTCTTCAGCTGCACGGCGGCGTTCGAGTCCGGAGGGAGTTCTTGTCTTCGCAGGTCGAGGGATAGACGGAGCAGGTCAAGCTTTCGACTCGACTCCTCCAAGTTTGCATGAGCCTAAAATTTAATAATAAAGTATTTATTTTTTCCGTTAATTATTACTATTTACAACTTACAAAGCTCTGCATAAAATGTTTGGCCAACTCAATAGGATTGGGGTAATAATTAGACACACAGGTGGAAAATTATATCAAAAGAAAAAAATTTATTGAGAATGTAACAGTGCGTTTTAAATATAAATACGAGAAACACTAGTAACAGGTTTCTAAAAACGGTCCCAAAGACAACACAATTAAATATTTTCTTTTTTCATTAAAAATGCAAACAAGAACTTAATAGAAATTAACACGCCTATAGATTTTCAAAATCAAACGTCGCCCCTGCCAGGCCAAATTGAGGTGGGCATGTCCCCGGCCGAGTACGCTCGGTCTCGGAATCCCGTTTCTTCGTAGAAGCTGCGGCAGTGGTCGCAGGGGCAGTCGGGGTTTTTCGAAGGTCCCGAGTGGGTTCCTGGCTTCTTCAAAGAGCCAACAATCGGGCCGAATCTCTCGGACAATTTCATGACGTTTACGGGTTTTGAGGAAGACCTTTGGGTCGGCGAGGTGTTTACATAAGAGCCGACCGGCGATACAAAAGAGATGAACTCGCCGCTGAGACTGGCAGTGTCCGTCACACTGGGCGCGCTGCCAGAGAGTGGGTAGTTGGCCCTGCGCGATGAGTCCTCCCGCTGCACCCTGCCCACCTCCCAGCAGGACTCCTCGGTGCTGCTGTCGGACCATCTGGGCGTTTTGTGGAAATGCTTGGCGAGAAACTCTTTGAACCTCTGCTGCTGCAGCATCTGCCTCCGCTCCGCCTCCGGGGACCGCCACGATTTGCCCTCTTTGACGCCGCCCCACTCCCTGTCCTTTTCGGTCAGTCTGATTTTGTCGAAACTTTCTGCGTAGTCGAAACTGTCACTTTGAGTGAGGCTACTTTCTCTGATATCCGCCCCAGACTCGGTAGTGTCCTTCCAGGAGGAATTCGTGTCCTCCTCAAACGGAGCTATACTGCTGGTGATGGTCGACCAAGAAGCGTCCCTGCTGGGCAAAGGGATGTCGACGGATTCGAAAGAACTGCGAGACGGGTACAAAGAACTCAAGTCGTCGCTTTGGTAGCCGCGCAGTTCGTCACACGAATCTTCTTTCTGCGCGAATTTGAAACTCTGAGTTTTGTGCGAGACTTGTCTGGAAAACAAAGCGGGCAAGCCGCTGCTCTTGCCAGCTTTGGAGTGGGTCACGCGAAAGTCGCCACTGTCGAACACCGTTTGCGGGGTGGTCGTGTTGCTGGTGCAGCTGGTCGGCGTCGACGAGCCGCTGTCGTCCGCGTCCTCCTCCGAGCCGGTGCAGTACACGTCGATGTGAACCGTCCGTGGTCGGCGATTGTCCGACTTGGTGTTCACTAATTTCAGACTTCTGCTTGATTTCGACGAATCGGAAGAGTCGTTCGCGGCGGGGTGGCGTTTCTGCAGAAGGGGAGATTTGCCGCCCAGTCGCGCCGGCGAGCGAGTCAACTTTCGTCCGTTCTGAAACGGAGCCACCAATTGATTGATTATGCTATTCTTTCATTTTAATTTATAAAATCTTTATATTAAAAAAATATATATATAAAATTTCAAAGTAATATTTTGAGTTTTTTGAAATTTTTAATTTAATTTTATTCATCAGTTTTTCTTCTTCTGAATAATTAAATATTTTAAACATAAAATTTAAATAATTGCTGAAGTTATTGAATATTTTTTTTCTAAATTAATTTACCTTGCGTTCGGAATCATCCGCCTCAGGCAGTTGCAGAACGGGGACTTGCAGCAGCACGTCCGAGTCGGTTTTCCTCCTTGAGTTGTAGGCCTTGCTGCCCATTTTCGGCGCCACCGAAGGTACCAAGGGTTTGCAGCTTTTGACGGTGGGCACCGGCGAGACCGTCTGAGCCTCCGCATCTCGGACGTCCTTTCTTCGGCGTCTGTCCACCGGCGACAGGGACAATTTTGTTTCTTCTGGGACGACCGGGAACTCCGGCGGTGCCAAAATTATGCTGGCCGTGCTTTTGCACCTGCGGTCGTAGGCCTGTTGCTTGGCGGGCTGCCGGTGGGGCAAACTGCCGTAGTGCTCGCTGCTGTAGCCTGACGAGTCGTGCCGTCCGCATCGGTCCACGACGATGGTGGACGTGTTGGTGCCGCTGTGGAAGGAGTGGCTGCGGCCACCTCTCTGCGGCCTTTGCGGGGGCCGCGTGCTGAAGAGGAGGTTGCCTCGCTGGAAGTTGTAGCCGGAGGCCTCCGGCGGCGGCTGTTGCTGCTCAGGTCCCGACCGAAAGGTGTACTCCATGCGGAGGCCGCCATTGTCGCTCGAGTAGCTGGTGACCGAGGGCCGCACGTTGCCAGGAAGACCCGAGTGCGAAAAGGTCAGTTGCGCGTGCAGCGACCACTCGAGCGGCTGCTGCTGCATTTTGTCCTTTAAATTTTCTCTTCACATTTTGCGGCTGACAAACGGGTCGGACTGACTGCCGAGACGGCGAGGTGGTTGGTTTTGCTGCTGCTTGCGCGAGTGTGGTCTATTTCCAGACACCACCCGGCCAACGACTCGCGCAGCGCCAAACTCCCGACGGCCGTGCTATGCCGAGCGTAAACATGGGCCGAAAATCAGCCCCGACTGTTCCTGCGAAGGAACGCGTTTGCTTTTTTAACTACAAAGGCGCTCGTTTCGATTAATGGCCCGGCTCGTAATAATGATCGTTGTCAATTAGGGTAATTATTGGTTTTCCTGCGTGGAAACGAGGCGGATCGGTTGACCGAGCCATGTCAGCCGGCCTGAAGGCTTTTAAATGATTTTCAAGTGCTAATTACTGTAATAGAGGTCCAGGATTTCTTGATTCTATTTATTAAGAAAATTTACACCGAGGTTGCTTTTTTCTCGAGAGAGATGCGCGCCACAGGCCTGTCCAGAATACTCTCGTGTGGGCGGCGAATCGCACTCGACTTACGAATACGCACGACCCACGTTTGCGCTATGTAATTATCCGGAGAGCGCACCGCCGTCATAGCGCTGCTATATTTATGTTCACGACCCATTAACTCGCATGCAGCGCTAAATAAATTTCGCACCGGAGGTGTGAGCGGTTTTGAGAATGGAGCCTGTTAATTTTATCTTGATTGCAAATTGATCGCGCGCAAAAAAATACAAATCGGCCTCCCATTTATTCTTATTAAGGCCGAACATAAATAAATCGCCGAGACGAGTTGGCATTGAGAGAAATAAAGAAAGAAAAAGCGAGCCGCCCGACGGAGATAATTTTGCTGCCATCTCGGCCGCAGATCTGCAACTCGGGACGCAGAGCTAATCCTTTTACACAGATGGCGCGACTCGTCAAAGAGATATCGGTGTCGAGAAGAAATCCAACTCTTATGAATGGTTTTGTCCTAGAGCGTGGGTTTTGTATTACAAGTTGTCAGAGGAACTGAGTTGGCCAAACAATTCTTATGCAGAGATTTACTCAAATGAGAAACAATTAGCGGGAGAGAAAAAGAAAACAACTCGCCTCTTGGAGGGCCTTTTTGTCTGGCACTTTCGCGCTCTGCAGGAGTCGAATCACATTTTTGGCACCTTCAACAACCGCTGCCTCGATTCGCAGCCTGTGTCTCAGCTCCTGAACTCGCTCTTCCAAACCGGGCGGCTCCAAATTGGACGAGTGTTCTGCGAAAAGAAAGAAAAATACAGACGGTGAACTCAAACGGAGCGGAAAAGCACAAGTCAAACCTTTGACAATTTGTTCTCCATTGTTGGAGCAGCCGTCCGAGCTGCGCGAGCTCTGTTTCAACTTGGCCATTCTCATTTTTAAGTATTCAATCTTTGCCTTTGAGTCGGCAAGCATCTGCTGCGCTTCGGCCAGCATCTTTTTGTCCTTGTTTCCTTTGCTGAAGCTTTCTATCATGTTCTCAGCGCCTTGCTTGACCTGCAAAAAGAACAAAGGAGAAGTTAATTTGGGTTGTTTCAAAGCTCCAAATAAACAAATTGTCACTTAAAATCTGCATTTAAAAAATAAAATCGTGCAGTTTACTCCTTTTTCTATGTGACGCGAATGGAGGATTAAGTTTTTCCACTTTATTGCACTTTTCCCGCTGTGAAAATAAAACGATCCATTTTGAAATTCCAGATAGTCCAGTTAGGAGCAACGCGCTAAAAAAATGAAGCGGAAAAAATGGAATATGACAAGCAATTTTCCAGTCCAGTGCCGCGCACTACTCCTTCGCGAGGCCCCCGTCCCCGTGTATTCAATTTCTGTTTTTTTTTTCTTCTTCGAATGTACAGATGGCGATTTTACGGCACGCTCGGAAGAGTCGAGCATTGATTCACTGCGCCAGAAATAGTGAGCAAAACAAGGAAGAAAACGTCGCAATTTGCGAGTTTATTTCGCGCGCGCAGACCGTCGGCGACAAGCGTGCCCCATTATTCGCCGCAATTACGCCGAGTCGTGTGCAGCGGACGCCCTGCAAAATTCGTGACGTCACGCGAACAGGAATTTTCTGCAAACGACACAAAGAAGATCTGCTACTGAAAGCAATTTGCCGCTGATGCTGGCGATGAAGAAGTGCAATTGCGAAAAAGTCACTTGCAGAGGCACGTGTTTCACAGTTAACGTGCCGAAGGAAATAAAAATTTAAAATTATATAATTATGCACACCTTGAGTTCGATGTTGAGCTGCCGCTCCAGAGGGACGAGCCGAGGATCCTGCGAATTCTCAAGACTTGCATTCCGTCCTGCTACTGGCGACGTCACCATTGATGAGTCTGAAACAAACAAATTAAAATTTAATTTTGTTGGTGTTTTTTTTTCCTTTTTTAATTTCCTGTCACATTCAGTGTGTTGCCGTTTGTCTAAATTTTTGAGTTTTTATTGGGAAAATTAATTTCTTGTAAAGATAAATCTGAATCTATTTTGAAAAGAATAAAAATTTTCAATTTAAATTTGAAATATGGACATTTTAATTCGTTTTTCGAGCAATGGTTTCTGAATTGCAATGGTTAAAATTTAATTATTTGGTCGGAATTCCAAACAATCAATTTTGCAGGAAAAATAATTAATTATTTATTACGATTTAGATATTTGAGCTTTAGAAGATCTCGAAAAAGATAAAAGTAAAAATTATTCTCCAGCCTGTTCAAGTTTACAACACAAATGCATTTACTTTTAAAACTTATCTTAACATGACTTCAAAATTGATGCAGATCGTTAAAGTGACATTTCCATTTTCATTCTGCATAATAAAATAACCAGCTCAGAAAAGTTAAGTTTGAAGTCAAGAGCGGACAATTAAAGGGCTATTATTATTGTCAACTTTTCTTACAGGTTCGCGAGCAATGAATGTCTAATAATTCCCGACCGGGTCATTGCAATTGAGCAAGGCCGTATTATTTATCCGCGGCGACATGCGTCTCATAAATCCAGATTAAATCCCAACGAGAAGTGCACGGCGCGACTGCTTCGTAAATACACCACGGAGCCCATTGACTTCTCGAGTGGTTCTCACCGCGTTTTTGTCAACACATGCACTAAATCAAGAGGGTTTAAACAGTTAGCGCACTTAAGGAAACTGAGTGCGTCTGCTCTGGACGTGCATTTCCTAGCTTCCCGCAGAGTTTGAAACCAAATTCAAGTGGGTGCATAGGGGAATAATTTTGGTGTTAAGTGAGAGGCTAAAAATATGAATGAATGTGTGGGGGCCGTTTTTTGACAGGAAGCAGGAAGTTCTTTAAACGTTCCATGAACTAAATTTAATTTTGTCGCAATTGAAATGACTCAAGTTTTAATATTATCTAAAAGAGGGTGGGTCCGATTATGAGAGAATCGATTCTCGTGTAAGGATTCTCGAGGAACGTTTCTGTCATTGAAAAACCACCACAGAATCGTTCCTTGAGAATTCTTGCGCGAGAATCACTTCTTGAGAATCGCTTCTCTCATATTCGGACCCACCCGAAGACTTTTTTAAATCAAACATTCTCCGTTTTCAATTTTAATTTCTACTTTCAGTTTAAAAGCAATCAAGCAGGAAGATAACCATCTTTAATTTCCATAAACTGATCTTGATAGAGCCTTTCTTTTTAACAAGAATTTGCAATTTAAATTTAAATTTCAGAATTTACAATCTCGGCCATAAATTGAAATTAAAAGCACATTTCAATTAAAAACACTTCTTTCGTGGCCAATAAAATGATTTTATCTGCACGATCTCCCCATAATTACATGTGCAATTCCGCATTATTTTAATATGCTGGGACGACGGCGACACCAGCAGGGTCAGAGACTCTGACGACTTGTTTATGAAACCACTTGACCGGCGAATATAAATAAATCAAGCTCTTCTTTATCAGAAAATATAAAACGCCACGGTTCATTTTCAGGTCTAATGAGCTCTCTTTATCCGAGGCGTGTAAAGCGCCCGCCCAGCCGAGTGGCAAGTGAGAACACACACACGCCAAAAGCCAGATAAGATTATAATTAAATAGACACGCGGAGAAATGGTTGCATCACACACGACACCGTGCGCTGAGCCATTAAATGCCTCGTGTTTGAACAGCGATAAGTTGGACCAAACGTAAAAGGGCCGCGCGCAGAAATAATAATGCGCGACTTCCATGCATAAATCTCTTTGCAGAGAAGTTGTAAACGCGCCGCGGCCTTTACTGCCTCTTGATTGACGCGTCGTGCGCAGACAAATGCTCATTTGAGCGTGCAAACAAAATATTCTCCCGTTTTATTGCCTGGAATTTGGATTTGTAATAAATTTTAGTACGTCGACACTTGATTTTCAATATTCGCTCTTCGCGTGCACGAACATTCCTTTCTGGTTTCCTTGAAATGAGAGAAATTAGCCTCAGCGGCCCACGCGATTTTTATAGAAAGTGCAGCCAAGTTCATTTCCCTATTTTATATTTAACATGGATTTTTACACGAACACCCCGATTTTTATGAAATTTGGTGTCCAACTTTTGCACTACCTTTGGGTTTTCTGGAATGGCTATCAAAAGTTACCCAACTTCGCAGGGGTTGGAAGTTTTCCTTAACAACAATCAAATTCATTTTTCAACTTTTGATTTTGTTACAAACTTACAATAATTGCGATAGATGGATCTTTCTTTTCTCTTGAAATAATTTAATGACTAAAGAGCACGATCGCGCAATTCTCATTATAAAGATTCAATTAGCTCGAATTTCTCAGCCTTTTCTCGATGTTAATAATAGTCACAGTCGTTTTTCTTTCCTACAAGGCACGCGAGAGAAAGAACAAAAGAAATTTCACATCCTGCTGCTGCGGGGGACGAAATTTCCGCGTCTGTGAGAACTCGCGTCCGATGTGAAATGGCGCGTAGACGAACCGCGATTTTCAAGTAACAATAATTGCCTGCGCAGACAATGGCGCTTCGTTAGAGGAATTGCATCAGCAGGTGCATTGTCGTCTCCTGAGACTGCAGCGATTGATGGGTGCATCTTTCTTTCTTTCTTTCTCCCGGCCGCCATGTTGGATTGATTAACGGGTTTCCTGTTTTCTTTTTCCGCGTGCAGTGCCAAAGTGGCTGGCAGACGGCGTGTGATTTCGCCGTCTGGAGGAACGAACGAACGAGCGGCAATTATTTTTTCGCCACGCATGCACTGGAGCATGCATTCCGACCACAATGAATCAATGAGCGCTTTAATTTGACGCATCTCGCCTTCACACCTGTGGTTCCGAATAACAGTTTGCCTAATTAGCGCGATGGTGCTGGAAAAGGCGACGTTAACGCACGGAAATTCGGGAATTTTCTCGTCCAATGAACCGCGATTTGGCCAGGTTAATTGCGTTGCTGCAGTTTCTGGTCGGTTGATTTGGTAGTATGGGAAAATTTTATTCTGCCAATTATTGAGCGAAGGGCTCAATAAAAATTTGATACTGAAAAGTCCTTGGTTATGGATGATCAGATTTTATCAAAATTAAGATTTAAAACACACAAATTCTCACGCCAATCGGTTCTTTGTTTAACGAAATACGAAATTATGATTATTTTATAATTTATTTAAAAAAAAAATTATGATAAAATTAAGAGATATATCTAAAATAAATTTGACAAAAATTGAAAATGGTAGAAAACAGAAATATCGAAACGTCCATCAGAGTAGAAATCATTTTTATAAATTCATTTTTTTCCAACATTTGTTAGTAGCAAAACTATAGAAATTATGTATCTCAGCCATTTAAATCGAAGGAAGACACAAAGAATATAAAAGTATTAAAGAACGCCGTATTTCCAAATTAATACTTGAAATTTCAAACTGGCATTATTCAATTTTCACCCAACACGTCAAATAACTTTTGTTTGAAGAAGTTGACACTCAAGGAGATGATCATGGATCATTTCCACGTCAAATGACAAAAAAATTTGTTGCTGCTGATACAGGGCTTTGGCGCATTTGTAAAACAGAACTCTATTGTTAACTTAAGCATTTTCTAGAAAGATCTACCCCTTTTTTCAGTCTGTTCAGAGCCAGAGGAACTATTGTTCGACGTGATTCGCACAAAATTTTATTCAAATGAGGCGCGGCAGGAACCATTTTGGAGAAACCAGACGTCGTCGTCCGAGGTTGGAGAACGCAGCGGGAGCGCTCTTTTGGAGAACCCGCCGATAAATAGACCGCGAGAGAGAGAAAGAGATAATGATATTCAAATCAATCAAGCGGCACCGAAGTAAACTGCTCTTTCACGTGGAGAGCACCTCTTATTCTCCTGCCCAACATCGAATAAAAAACAAACATCTGCGCCGCCGCCGCCGCGCTCAAAGAGGAAATGCATCTCTTTTATATTCAGCAGCTTTGTCTGCATTTTTATTCCCGACAAGAAAGAACGAGACGATAAAGCAGCCGAGTTGTTTATTATTTTACCATTCAGTTGGCGTGAGAGAGCGAAAGAAAGAGAGAAAAAGAGAGAGAAGGTGCACCGTATGACGACGCAATAAAGACGTCGCGCAGCTTCTGTCTGGCGAATACATCACGCTCCACTGGTCACCTGACCGACCCAACAGCACCCTCGCTAATGTGAAAGCTCTGTAAACAAAGGGCGGACACAATTACATCCGGCACTGCATTGCCAAAGGGTCATCCGGATTATGGCCCCTCTTGCTGCTTTTGTCGATGTTTGATTTCGCTGTTTGTTTGCCAATGATTATCTGCCCGATATAGTTCGTTGGAAAGGTCGACTCGACAAAACTCTCACCTACAAAGAGGGACAATTTTGATGACTAACAAAATAATTCTCTTGGTGTAAAATTTAAAAAATTAGTCTGCTAATTCTCCACTTTTAATGGGAGTCTAATTTAAATTTGTATGTAAACAAACAAAAAATTCGCATAATTCAATAAAATTGACATTCCTATTTAAAATTGTACTATTGCTAATAAATATGTTAATTAAATGTTATTTAATTTTAATTGAACATAAAAAAGATAAAATAATTCGTTTGAAGAAATTGACTCTCGAGGAGATGATAATTTTTTTTGTATTTTCTTGCTGATGAAATAGGATCGCAGACCGTGACCGAAACTGGTAGATCCGTCTTGTTTTTTAATAAAAAAAGATTTTTCATAAAAACGAGGAAGAAGCCCAAGTTCTTCACTTCCAAATTATGAAAAATATTGACTTATAATAAAAATAATAATAAAGATAATTTAATAATCTGAACTTTTCTAATTTATTTGCAAGAAAGAATTTTTATCATTACGTGTTAATTTTAATTTTCACCATTTATAACAGATCCAAACGC